GCATGGAGGAACTCCAGAATGCAGCAGGGGCTCCCTCGGTGCCCAGGTGAGCAGGCATCATCACCAAGAAACCTGCCCAGACTGCCAGAGAACATGTCACCTTAGAATCAGAAGGGCGGTGCCCTGCGCACACCCAGGGACCAGAACGTGGCCAGGTCCCGACAGAGTCCAACAGCTCACCGGCACCCATCTTCCTTTAGAGCATTCACAGCAGTCAGGAAGAACAGGCTACATACACTCTGGCCTCACTGAGAGCAGCGATCTTCACACATAACAAAGTTTAAAAGCAAACACAAGGCTTTTTATTTTCCTGAGAAAATTTTCCAAGAAGCTTTTCCCTCCCCAAAAAAGTAACTCATAGAATAAAGCTCAAGAATTACATATTTGAGATGGCCTCAGTATGTAGCCCAGGCTGGCCTCAAACTGATGATGGTCCTTCTCCCCCAGCCTTCCAAGTGCTGGGAGGAAAGCTGTGGGCCACCATGCCCAGCTAAGAATATTTAAAGGAATGCAGAAATTCAGGGCATATAAAAGTTTAAAATTGCAATATCTGATAAATAATAAACAATTACCAGGTAAGGAGAAAAGTACAGCCCATAAAAAACAGAACAATACTCAACTGAAACTGATCTAGACATTTTACAGATAACTAGAGTTCATAGATTCAGACATTGAAACTATCATTATAATTATATTCTGTATGTTCAGGAAGCTACAGAAGAGATAAAATATGTTAAGTAAAGTCATGAAAGACATAAAAAGATTCCAGCTGAATGTTGATAGAGAAAAACTATGAATTCTGAGATGAAAAGTACTACACGAATTTAAAATCAGAAGAAGATCGGTGAGCTTGAGACATAGCAGTAGAAACTATCTGAAATGAAATTCACAAAGAAAAAAATCCCAATATAAATTAACAGTGGAACAAATTCACTACACCAAATATGTATGTGAATCCCTGAAATAACCAAAAATAATATTTGGAGGAGCAATGGGCTTACATTTTCTCATTGATGAAAACTTTGAACTCACACATCCCAAGGGCAAGAAACATGAAAAAAAAATAAATCTAGGCACATCAAAATGAAATTGCTTAAAGTTTTGACCAAAATGTGGCTGGAGATGTAGTTTAGTAGTAGACTACTTGCCTAGTGTGTGCAAGGCCCTAGATTTGATGCCCAGAACTGCCAGGAGCTGATCAGATCCTCAGATACCTGTAAGCAGGGGAACAACAGGAAATAAAAGGAAACAGAGACAATATTCAAGGTGTAAGGGGACTGAGAGGAGTCTGCTTCTAGTGGACAGACTCAGCAATCTCCACAGTTGACCAACTCTTATTAGCAAGTGAGAAGCGTAGCGGGAAGGGGTTGTGCATCATTCATAGAACAATAACAGTTGAAAAGATATTTTGAAAAATAAGGAACAGGTTAAACTTTTACAAGGGGAGCATGTGAAAAGGGAACAGGTTCTTCCCTATTCCCAGATGCCTGCCCAAGTTAATAAGGAATAGCATTCTTTACACTGTCTTCAACAGATGTTATCTTGGCATGAGAGCACCGTGATTATGAACATTCTCCACACAGCCAAAAACACAGAGCCTCTGTGTGCTTTTCTGTTTCTTTCCCAAGGGAGGTTACATTGGCCTTGGGACTGAGGGGTGTAAGTCACACAATTTGGCCCCCAACAATTTTTTATACAGCCTGATCCCCACCACAGCACCACAAACAAAGAAAACCTGTGACAAATGAAAAACCTGATAAACTGCCACGGAAAACAGAACAAAGATAATAACTGTAGTTTCTACCAGGCACACTATAAGCTGGGTATGGTGATGCGCACCTATAATCCCAGTAGTTGGGAGGCTGAAGCAGGAGGGTTCCCATGAGTTCGAGGCCAGCCTGCACTACATAGTGAGACTGTCTCAAAAACCAAACCTATCAGGCACATTAGATGGCAATGAAGCAATATATTTGAGTCACCAAAAGAAATAACTGTCACCCTAGAATTCTTCATTCACTGAAAATATCTTCAAAAAGTGAGATACAGACAAGTCAGTCATACAAAAGCTGGCCCATGTAAATAGAAATATGTACTTTGTTCATAGGTCAGGAGATCCAATATTATTTAAGATGTCAGTCCCAGATAATTTGATGTATACATGCAATTAACTCCCAGTCAATAGCCTAGTAGGTAGTTTCCAAAAATTCACATGGAAACCCAAAGGATCTACCTAAACTGATTTACTGAAAAAAAGAACAAAATTGGAGGGCTAATGATAAATATTTAACTGTGAACTTTCCTCATCACTGTCCCACACAAACCTCTCAAAGCCACGAGAGAATTCCCACTGTCTCTACCACTTCCCAGTCACAGGCAGCCTGGTCCTGACTCAGCAGAGAGACCGTGCAGGAGACATGAAGGAAGAGGGGTATAAACAGGGTCCATCTCCATCTTCCCAACACCACAGGAATTATGGGCACCAGAAGTGGATGGCTGTGGCTCTTGGGTAGAGTTACACAAACCGAGTTGGCGCCCAGCACTGCTTTTGTTCCGAGACTTCTCAAACGCCAAGCCTCCTGTACACAGTTCGTCATGTCCTCCCTTTGGGGAACCATGTGGCTGTCTCCCTGGCCCATCTCATACGATGAGCTCATTCTAGAGAAGACTCTGGCCATGGCCACCAGAACAGGACCACCAGGCTAGCGAGTGGGCGGCAGCTCACTCAGCGAAAGCATGAATGGACCAAGGTCACAATATGAAAATAGTCTTCTACACCTCATTTTAACAGAGTCCTTGTCCATTCAGGGACTTTCATAAACAACCCCACAATTAAGGACATGTGTTTATCGGCAAAGCTACTTACCTGAAATACACAGTGGTTGTTGTTCTCTCTGGGCCTGAAGTTTATTTATGAGAAAGAAAGAAAGAAAAACTTGGCCCAAGGATAAAAATAGAGCAGTGGCACTCAAGTAAATGTGCTGCTCTTCTCCCCAAAAGCCTCAGGTATAACCTATTTTGAGAAGAGTTCAGTCTGAGGTGATACACAAATTTAGCTTAGCAAGGAACTCATTACTATTTTTAAAATCAGAATTAGCCCCTTTCCCTTGCAATGCTACTTTTTGGTCAGTTTGTTTGGTTTTGGTTTTTTGAGACAGGATTTCGCTGTGTAGTTCAGGGTGTCATTGAACTCACTGTGTAATCCAGGCTGGCCACAAACTCTCAGCAATCCTCCTGACTCAGCCTCCTGGGTGCTGGGATGACAGCCACGTGTCACCAGGCTCAGCCAGTGTACCTAAGTCTTAACTCCAGTCCTGTCCACCCTGCTTGAGACTTTTCAGTGAGCTCTCATGGCACTTGGGATGAACTCAGAATGCCTCCATGGGCTTGAGCTGGTCCCTACTGCCCTTGTCATTGTGTTCGGGGACACCTGCTTTCCCTCAGGTCCTCTGGCCTCCCAAGATCCTTCCCACCGACAGCCCTGGCCCGCTCCTCCTTCCCACACTGGCTCCTCTCACGGCCAGTCTTGGCTGGGGTGTCATCTGCACCCCCTTTCACTTCTGCCCCCCGCCCACATCATGTTAGACTCTTACAACACACATCTCACTAAACTTTGGAGCTTCTGAATAGCATTTTGTTCTCTCACTGACGAGTAAAATTCTGTGAGACCAGGAACCATGTTTTTTTTTTTCACTGCTTTATCCCCAGTGCCAAACACCAACTGGCATGTAGTAGATGTTCAATGAACACTGTAGAACATTGAGTGAATAATGAAGCACAGTCCAATTTATTTCTACCATACTTACACCCTACCTCAAACTCCAAAGCCCAATTCAAGCATTCTCCCCGCTTACATCCCCATTTCCCCCCTCCATAAAGTCTTTCTGTGCTTCCCACTCTTCGGTGTTTAGAAACAAAGCATAGAAAGTCCCACAGATGCAGCTGGAATATAGTAGGTGCTTGGTACATGTAGCAGTCATTAGCAATGTGAGCACTTCTTCCAGCCTATTGCTGTGTTTCTGAAATGTCAGTCTTTCTTTACCACTTTCATGACTTTTCCCATATTCCCAGTACCATCTTCCTATTTTTTTTTTTTTGGTACCAGGGATCGAACTCAGATCCTTCCACTTATGAGGCAGGGAGCGGAACCACTGATCTAAATCCCCAGCCCCCATCTTCTTATTTTTGATGTAATTATTTTTTAACATGATGTTTTCCTTCTTAAATTGATGTATTTTTAAAGGAAAATTTATAGAAGGCGAAGTAAAAAGAAATGAGGTGTGTTATGTACATGTACCAACACCACAAAAGACTTATACAAACTTTATACTGCAAACGTGTACTAAGAGTATGACACTAATCGATTAGTGACAATACTAATGTGACAACTGTAGTCTTTCACCACGATACTAATGTGACAACTATTGTCTTTCACCATGACAGAAAGATGGAAATGTTTTTCCATCCATCATTATTAAAGTGATAACTATGTTCTTCTAAAACCACCAGATACCATTCAGAACCTTCAGTTGTATTGTACATTTACTGCCCCTTTACACTTAGCATTTATTATTTTCTACCTTATTAATTACACATCTATGTTTATACCTCAGCTCAGCTGGCTTGGTTCTCGTTATAACCTCCAGGGTTCTCTGGTTGATACTTTATGCAGAATATATGCTTAATGTGGTCTAAGTTGAGTCTGTTCAGTCTACTTAGACTTTTGAACCAATGTGATCAAAAGAGACAATTCTTCCAAAATATTTTCAAAAGTAGATAGGTTGGGAGATGATATTCAGGAGTTTCCTTGTGCTGTCTTCTCCTTCTGCCCTTCTGGTTTCCCATAGATACAACCCCAAACCATCTCCTCCAGGCCACCATAGTTAAATATCAAGGAAACAACTGGAAAGAACCAATGTAAGAAATGTGCTCCTTACATGCATGATTATACCTGAACAAACCCTTTAATTTCTAAGTGAAATAAGACTCAAACAAACCCAGAAAAAAACTGAATGTGTGATTTATTATATTTAAGATTGGTCTATAAGGCTTAAATATGTCTGTCATAGTTAACAGCAAATGAATGCAACTTTACAAAATCAGTATTTCGATACAGTACAGGACTAACTGTGGCAACTGTGCACTGGAAAATTAATATTTCCTCAATGCACATATTCAATCTGCAGCACCATTTAGAAGCTTCCACTAAAAACTCAAGCTGCAGTATTTATTACAAGCTCTACTTGGAACACAAGGCTACCTAAATCAAGCATTAGAGAAAGACAGTGGAGTCATTCAAGCTTAATATGTCAGATTTGGTACAGGATTAAAATACTAAGGCTTTTTAATGTCTTGGTTCAAATTAATAAATACAAACACAATATAAAAATATACACCAGGTGGTAAGGCTGCACGGCTTGTGACTGGGAAGCTAAATCTCGCTCTCGTACGTATGCAGGTATGTCTTGAGGGCCAGGATTTCTGGATAGCTGCGGCTGGTCTTTCGGAAGAAATCCAGACCGGTGAGCTGTTCGATGTCCCGCACACGAGCTGTATGCATCTTCATGAGGTCTTCTACCCATCTCGACTCATCCTCTGAGCTCTGCAAGGGAAACCAAGCAATCAGAGTCTGACTTCGCAGAGGGGGTCTCGCAGTGGTCACGGCACCAAGACCACAAGTGACCTCCTCGTGCTTCACACACCAAGCCCAGCCTGCTGCTCCCTGCTGACCTTCCTGTTCCACCGCTCCCCTGCATTCCTGCCAGGCAGCACCCCAAATGCCTGCCCTTGGCTGTGAACATTGCTTAGTGGCGATTAACTGCAGCAAACAGATGAAGGAGGGGAGGCACTTTCCTCAGTAGGCTCTCAATGTAAATCAGAACGAGGAAAGCCAGAGACCGCAGAAGATTGGATTATTGGTTCTTGTCCCAGCTGCTGAATGCGAAGTGGAGCCTGGATCACGGTAATCTACCATGCTCTTCTGCTTCCCAAGGAAAAGGGAGAGCCGGCATCCGGAGTACAGAATCACTGCACACGTGTGCATCCCAGGCTGCTCAGAAGCTCCCCGCATCAGCCACGTTCTCTGCAGTGCATGAGCACTGTAATAACGAGCCTCGCCTGATGCAGCTCAGCAGCTGGACTTGGCGGTGGGGACCGATCGAGGCCAGACTTGCTGGCTAGAGCCTTGGTCACACTATCTGACCTCTCAGGGCCTGGTTTCTTCATCGATTTTAAGGTTAATCATGCTTACTCCAGCAGCACTTTGGAAGCGAGACAAAAAGAGAAGAGGAAAGAAGAGGAAAATAAGGTCCAGAAACCTCACAGAAGAAAGGGAGGAAATTTTTTTTTTTTTTTTGCTTTCACTTATCTGTTTGCCGAAAATGTTCTCCTTGGCACAGACTGCAGGTGGAAGAAAGTCAAATGTCCCACATCACACAATTGACTTCGGGTCTAACTCAAGACTAAAAGGTAATTCCAGTGAAACAGTCCTTTGCATCTCAAAAGTACATTCGTTCATTTGAGAGAGAAGATGGGAGGAAAAGAACAAGACTGGAAAGCTGTATGTTAGGAAGAGTCACCGCTTGCATTAGCAGCCACGGGACAGCAGGGGCTTCACAGACCATTTCATTCCCTAACTGCATTCAAGATTTGCTCTTTCTGGGGCCGGGGATTTAGCTCAGTGGTTGAGCCACCTGCCTCGCAAGCACAAAGACCGGAGTTCGATCCCTGGTACCAAAAAAAAAGGATGTGCTCTTTCTAGAAGTCAGAGTGCGGCTGCGTGACCCAGGGCTGAGACTGTTCAGACACACCCTAGGCCCGCTCTCAAGCAGGAGTGGCCTCAGCAAACTACCCACCAAGGCCCAGGACCTGCAAGGCTTTCTCAGAAAGCTCCAGCCCACACAGACCTGGACGGGGCGTCACAGTGGCTTGTGCCAAGCTAAACATGCACCGTGGGGCACTGCTTCAGGAAGCGAGGCCTGGCCATCCCCGAAAGAGGAAGGAATGGGAAGAACTTGCTTTGCAGGCTGGAGAAGTAAGGATATTAGCCTTCCGTGCCCCACCCTCTACCCAGTCTAACCACGATCCCCGAGAGTCTGGGGACAACCTAAATAGAACCCTGCCCGCATGGTACTGACCCATCCTCAGTGTGGCCACGTAATGAACCACGTAGGAGGTCTCCAGATGGGATAGGAGAGCTCAGAGCAGCAGAGTAAGCATGGGCTTGGATTTAGGGAGAATTTTCACATTCAGCTCATTTGTTTGATTTTTTTCGATGGTCAACCCATCCGAGTTTTCCTTTGTAAATCCAACCATTTGAAAATGTGGTCAGCAATGAAAAGAATTTTCCTAATTTAAGTCACGGCAAGCTGGGATTATAAGAATTCACAGGAGGAAAATGTGTCTTTTGCTACTTCTTTCTTTGGGAAGCGGTATGCCAGTTGCACCAGAGGGGCATTTTCTTCTGGCTCTCACATGCTAAACTATGATCTCTGACCCGTCACTAGGAAATACAGGCAATGGTGTGCATGAAGAAAATACGTTGTCAGGGTGTTGGCTGGCCACCCACAGAAGTAACTGTTGGTGGAGACTGATGAAGATGAAAAACTAATAAAATTATAAGAAAAGTTAGTGTGCACCAAGGTAGGAAGGAAAACTAAAAATAGCCAGGTGTGGTGGTGCACACCTGCAATGTCAGCACTCTGGGAGGCTGAGGCAGGAGGATGCAAGTTCAAGCCCAGCCTTAGCAATTCAGCAAGATGAATATATGTGAAGAGAACACAGACAGAGAGCTAGGCCTTGCAGGGAGACTAGAGGATTGGAAGCACTGTAATGCCTATGGGGTGCCGCACAGTGCTTGGATTAGGGCTTGTACACAACACAAACTCAACACTACTAATGCTACTACTTTAAAATGTGATTCCAAGCAACGTTTAAAATGTTATCTCCCACTCAGCTCCAGTATTCTGAACCTTCCCCGCATCCTCATTTTGCTTGGAATCTCATAGCCCCAACCGCCGCCCGTGACCGAAGCCACCGCCAAAGACCTCCACGGACCACCAGGTGATGCTCTCTGTTGCTGCTGCTCTTGCACAGGCCCCTCCCGCCCACTGTGTCGGCAGCGGCTCACTGCAGCTGCCCGCGGGTAGAGACGACGTCTAACGCACACGCTGTCGTTTCTCCGCAAGCAGCTTCCCGCAGTTTACAAGTGCGAGCACAGTGTGGTGACTGTGTCCTCCCGTAGCCGCAGCCCTGCTCCTCTGGTGTGTGGAACAAGGTCAGAGTCTGTCGCTTCCAAAGTCAGACTGGCAGCGCGGACACTGAGGGGCCCTCACCTTGGGCCTGCAGGCTGAGTCAGTGCAGGGCTGAGCTCTCGGTTCCCGTCTCCCCAGGACTCCCCCATCAGCACCCTGTGCCCCCACTGGGGCAGAAAGGGGCGGAGCATCAGCGCCAGCAATGGAGCGACTGCTGCCGCCCCCCAGCAAGCCGCAAAGGCAACCGATTACCAAGCTCTTTCGTCCTCTCTGTCTCTGTCTCTGTCTTTCTCTGAAAAACTTTCATTATGGACATTTTCAAGCATCCACAAGAGTAGTGAGTCTAACATGAACTCCTTCGAACTCTCACTCTGCTCCAACAATTATCAAAATCATGCTGCCTTCTATCTTCTTTTTACAAAATATGTATCCCTTCTCTAAAACTAAAAGCACCCAGACATCTTTTAATCATTTGTCAAAATCTGACGCACAAACATGTCAGTGTGTACACGCGTACACACATGCTCTGAAAACTAAAAGCCCCTGGAGCGCCAAGGTGCTATGCCTTGAATCAAGTCCTGTCGGCTCCTTTGTTCGTCCCACTAGTTGGGTCTTCCACACGCTTCCCAGTAAGTGAGTCTGCCTTCGGCGAAGGGAATATAAACTAAGAAACGAGCACTGGTCATCGTGGCACGTCCTCACTCACGTTGCAGCTTTCGTCGTTGTCGGGGCGGTGGGGCAGGATGAAGGAGGACACGGACAGGGGCCCGTCACACTTGTCGGCCGGCTGAGTGAAGTCCAAGCAGCTGGTGAGGATGCTGTAGTAGTGAGTCGGCACCGGAATGGAGCTGCCCTCCACGTACCTGAAACAGGAGGTGAAATGAAATCACAGTAAACGCGGGCGCTTTCCTGTGCCGGGTGACCAGTGACTGCGCTGAGCCACGCCGGGTCACCCCAGTTCATGCCCCCGTCTGTCCTGTGCTCCCACCCCTCGCAGTGCCAGCCCGCTTCCGTCTCTGACCATGAGGTTTTCTCTGCCTGGAACCCACTGCCTTCCTCCCCTGGCAGGGGAGAGAGATATCCCAGGCAAATAAAGTGGCTTGGTCCCAGAGCTGGGGATGAGAAGGGGAGAAAATCGATGCTGCAGCAATGAGAGGCTGGAAGACTGAGTGAAGGACGCCCCAGGGGTTTCCGAGTGCCGGGCGGGAATGCTCTACAGTTTCGGGAGGAGCAGAGCCATTGTGAGAGCCGCGTCTTGGGAAGACAACTGTCAGAGTTGTAGGAAATGGACAGGTCCAGGAGACACTGCATGTAGGGGGACAACAGCTTTCTTGGGCTGCGATGAGATCCCGAACTCAGTTCAAAGAACTCATTTGCCAAGCGAAGTGCTAAGAACTGAGTTCTAGGGACAATCTTAGAGGTATAAAACACTCTTTTCCCATCGAGCAAAATGTCTTTTATTAGTTACCTTTTTTAAAATAGCATTCTCCTCTCTAAGTGCATGTCTGCAAATCACAATTAAACCATCCCTTCCATTCTGTTCTGTTCTCTGACTGTTTCATGCACATGGAAAATTAAAGGACAACTTATTCTGGGTTTGTTGTGTATATATCTTTTTACCTTCTTCACTAAACTGTAAGCTCTGCCTTATTCATTTATATTCCCAACAGCACCATGGAGAGAGATAGAAACAATCAGACTCAAGCAGTGTATTTCCTAAAATGAGTCTACCTCATTAGGAAATACAGAAAAAATATAGAAGAGTCTAAAACGTCTCCCCAGATAGAGGAGTTAAGTGGAAAATATCATCTTTTTATCAAAGAGTTGTTGAGAAATAAATGTCAAATTTTTCAATAGTTTGATACATTTTCTTTCATGGAATGAAAAATTGCAATTACTTACCATGAAATTCAAACTTCCATTCCAATCACGAATTCCATATTCAATCAAAGACTCAATCAAAGAAGTGAAGAATTTAAAAAGATATTTAAAGAATAAAAGATTTAAGAGATACCAACTTTTCTTTAGGACATGAATATTTTTTTTAAAGCTCTGAGTGATGTCTTTGACTCTAAATGTCATTCACTGAAGTGACATGAAAAGCTTACTGCGTGGTCTTCTCCTCTGTGTCGTGTAGGCCATCATAATCATAGTCAAAGATTGGTCCGCTTATCACATTAACTCCATTTCTTTCTGAAGCATATTTCTTCACCAATACTCTTTGGAAATAACTCCATACTCCTATGCAAAGACAAAATCAACTCTTCAAGAAAAAACTTGCTTCAGCCCGATTCTCTCAAGGATGCATTGTACAAGCTGAATGTCACAATCCCAGAGACAATAAGGCTTTGTGACTCATGAAAAGAATCTGTTCTGAAGCATTATCCATGTGTGTCATTTCTGAACCAGCGAAGGGAGAGACTTGGAACTAGGAGACACTGGAAGGGGAGCTTAGCCTAGGCCAGTGAATCAGGGAAGGATTCCCAGATGAGGTTATTGAGCTGAGCTCTGTAGAGTGGGGGTCTCCCAAGCAGAGATGGGGGCAGAACATGGCAGGCAGGAAACCCTAAGTACAGACAGCAGTGTGGTGTTTCTGAGCTGTGCAGCAGCCTTCTTTACCTTCTCTTCCATCCCCCATTGAGATCTCATCACTATGCCATCCCTGAGGTAGCCCTGACCTCTCCGCAGAGCTCCAGCTGGGTCACCCAGCCCAGTCTCATAACCCACATGAACATCTAGTGGGCTCATTTGACAGAGCACTGCTCGGATTCTGCACTCCCTTCCCAATCGGGCCACCCCTGCTGTCCCCATCATAGTCAACGGTACACCCACACACCCGGGTGTCCAGGCCAAAGTCCAAGCCTTGGTCCTGACTTCTCTCCACGCTGTGGAATAGGCACACACTCAGTGTTGTCTCCGCATCATCCCAGCCACCCCATGTCTGGCTGCCTGTCCTAAGCTTCCGTCCTGCCTGACAGGAAGCATGCAGAAGACGACTTCCTGGCTCCCAGAGAGAAATGCTTACCTTAGGCCATGTCCCATGCCTTCTCCATGCGGTAGGCAAATGGATTCTCTTACACCATAAATCAGATCACAGCACACTCACACACATGCACACATTTCTAACATTCCACATGATTTCTCACTGTAATTAAAACCTCAAATCCTACTTTGGCCCATCATGACTTCTCTGATTTTACTTCATACCCTTCACCACCTCCATCCGGTCCAAGCCTTTTTTTCCTGACCTCCAGCCTGGCCAGACTTGTTCCAGCTTTTGCATTTGTGCTTCCTTCACCTAGAAAACTCGTCTCCTGGTCTGTGCCTGTCTGGTTTCCCCTCCCTTTCAGCATCACCTGAGGACATCCTCACACACCCTAGCCCCAGGGTACATGAAGTCCAACTAGAGGAGCATGAGAGGAGGGGACAGAAGAGGAGAGGACAAAAGGCACAGCAGAGGGCAGGAAAGGCAAGCAGGGAAGTCGGTTCTCAAGAATTAGGTCCATCGCACCGTGTGCCAGTCTACACGGGGGCGTGAACTTCCAGCTGTGCCCACTTCCCTCCTGCCCTTGCTAAGAGCACTTGGCCACTGCCCCATAATGCTTCCGCACTGCTCTGTATTTTCTGATCTCTACTCCAAAGGAGAAGAGCAAAGGAGCCTGCCAGAGACAAATTACCTTGGATATCTGCACTACAGAAAGGACAGTGAGGCAGAAGATCAAATGTTAAGAGGGAAAAAAGTGACAGAGAGAGAGAGAGAGAGAGAGAGAGAGAAACAACAATGAATGACAACAGTCAAAAGGCCAAACCCACGGAAATGCGGCATGTGAAGAAACCATTCCCCCAGTGCAGAACAGCAAGTTCTCTGTGAAAGGCCTTTTCCACACCAGCCTCGGGGTGGTACCATGTGTTTTCTTTATTACTGTTTGGTCAGAAAATGCATCAACAAAGCATAGGGAGATTCAGGAAACCCTGATTAGGGGCAATTAAATGAAGCTGCATTCTGTATAACATTGTGATAAAGTCACTAACTAGGACATCAAATAAACATTTTTTTCCTCTAAATCATGTGCGTCATTCACCAAGGTTAAGCTGGAGAGGCTTAACTGTCACTGATAGTTGGGACTCACCTGTTCCTGTTCTGAAACCCTAGTTCAGCCCTCAGAGTTCCCTATGCTAGCCCAGCCCTCTCTGCCACGCCAAGTCAGGGAAAAGCAATTCCTTGTCTGACCCATCCCACAACACAGAGGCCTTTCCACTAAAAAGGAACTAAAATGAGGGAAAAGCTATTCCACAATGCTTTCTCTATCTCTGAACACATGGATGGATGGATGATGGATGGGTGGGTGGATTAGTTAATTTTTATTGTGAGAAATAGAAAATGGATTGTTTTGGTCACTGGGCAATTAAGTCACAAATCCATGTAAGTCTTAGAAGTCAGGCAATAAAAATCCCTTAATTTTACAAATGGGAGGGTAAATAGAATTTTCATGATTATATAGACAACAGTCACAATTCTAAGAACTAGAACTTGGTTTTTTGGGGCCAGAGCTTACTGTGTTTACACAATTTATAGAATTGCACAAAAACATTTATGTCATATATAAATAAATCATGTATTCAAAGAGACTAACTAATAATTCTCAGAGTCCTAAAGTCTTCTAAAGTTAATATTCTCATGAATCAGATAACCAAATTTCAGCACTAACATCCAGAATACCTGAGCACCCCATAGGAGAGCAGTGTTAGTGGCTTTCACTGAAATGTTTGATGATAAATATAGACGTTAATGACAAGTGACCTTCCAGGCTCGGTGATGACTCTTTTTAACCATGGAAACAGTGAGCATTAAAACAGAAAGAACTGCAAGTTAGAAGAAAAACACAAACATGGACTGCCTCAGCTTCTGCCATTCACGACCTAGGTCACTTCTTGTGAGGTCAGTTTCTTAATTATAAAAAGGCATCAACTAGCTGCCAACTTCCCTTGCACATTCAACTTTGGGGTTAATGGTACAGAATTTATGTGAAAGCTCTTACAAAAAGTATAATGCTAACTACATGAAAGGTGTTATTATTATTAAAATCAATATAGAAGTAGAAGAGGTAAGTGGTAAATTTAGACATATTTATTTTCACAAGTCCCAGTTTATTAGGTAAATATTGGACTTACGTTTAAAGGCAGGGTACATTGGCACCATATTGGTCACAAGGAATGCATCATATTTAGCTTCTGGAGAAGAGCTCAGATCTAAGCATCAGGAAAACAAATAATGTCCATTGCTCAGCAGAATCTCCATCCACAGAAATCAATGTTCCAGAATGGTCCCAACCACACAAAATGAACAATCTATTCTTTTACTCTTCCTCCCTCGCCCTCTGGACAGTTCCTGCTTCCCCTCACCCTTCCCCTCCTCTTCCCTCAACAGCCCTCTCTCAAAAACTGCTTACAATGCCTTTCTTCCTACCTAGAGCTGCAAAACAATCCCTTGATCTCCTTAGCCTTAAAAAAATGTCATCAAGACAAGGAGAGCTAGTTAAAGGGCTCTAAGGGCTACTGTCTTAATGACTATTTCCCTTTCGGAGTCTCATTAGGGCTGAGAGGAGAGACACAAAGATTCCCTGGCACTTCAGAATTCCCTGGAGAGTTGCAGTTTTGAAAGCTGGTCACTTTTTGGCCAGCTTCAGAAGGGTCTTGTAGAAGTTAACTCCACAATGTCTCCATGGCCTCTCCTAAAGAAAACCCAAGCACTGAGAACCTGATGGCCAAGATTCTCTCCCCCAAAGGCCCAGGATGGTGTGGGTGAGCAGCCCCAGACCCCCAGTGACTTACAGGGTGGGAAGAGGAAGCCGTAGGACATCTGCTTGTCGTTCTTGTAGGCCAGGCAGCTCTGACTGATGCCTGGGGAGATGCGGACGTCAGGGCGGACGCAGCTGGCCAGGTGCTCAGGGATAAGAGAGACCTCAGCCTGCATGGGGGTCAGAGACAGTGAGAGACAGCACCGCAGACCTGGGGACAGGGACAGGGATGCCGGCTTCCTCTGCCCTGAACAGTCCAGACCACGCCCTGCTGTTTTCACTGTAGCTCCTCGTCTGATAGTCTGACTCCTTATAGCAAAGTCATAATTAGTTTTAAATACAATAAACCAGTCATTTTCAAGTAAAATGACTTAAGTAAAACAATTTATAAAGGTGAAATCGCACTGCTGAAATAATGGATGGGGATCCACAAAAGAGGCATGTATATGTGTGTTTTCTGTCTACAAAAATACATAAAATGAACAAGATCGTACATATGTGTACACAGTGCACATTAACGAGGAGCTGCCTGGGGGCAGTAGAAGTATTCTCTTCATTTATATTCAGAGGTCAAAAACATACCTCAATCACCAAATAAATTTTTCTAATTCTTGATATATAGCTTTGTATCTCAGCTTTGTCAAACTGAAAGCTCAATGCAAAACTAAAATTCAAACCGGATGCTAATCACGGGGGAGTTTGAGGGCTGTCAGGGAGTGCCTCAGAATTCCCGGTACTTTCCACTAAATCTTGCTGCTTACTAAAAACTGCTCTAAAAATACTCCATTAAAACAAACAAAGCACCTGGGTGTGGTAGTACATGCCTGTAATCTCAGCACTCAGGAGGCTGAAGCAGGAGGAGCACCATGAGCTTGAGGCCAGCCTGGGGGGGCATAGTGAGTTCCAGGCCAGCCTGAACTACAGAGAGAGACCCTGTCTCAACACTGGCTTTCGTAACTATCCTGTAACTTAAACAGAATATAAAAATGAAAAGAATTAGTATGCTGTCTTCAATATTCAGCATATTACCGTGGTAGTAGTGAAACACCAAATAAATATTCTAAATATCTTATAGTAGACCCGACAGAGAATTTCTTCAATCAGGAAAAATTAAGATTTATTTTCTAAGATAAAATTCTGTGAAGCAAGCAATTATTGTACAACTGTAAGGAATACAATGAAATGAAGACTATGAAGCCCAGTTTTCTCAACAACCTGTTTGGAAACGGTGTACGAAGTCCAGAGCGGCATCAGGGATATCTCGCTATAACCACTTTCGAAGTCAGTGTGATACAAGACGTCATATCTGGTCCGGTAAAGCACTGCAGGTCGTCCGTAGAGGAGATGTCTCTCTAGGGAAGAAAAAATAATAATAACTGCTAAATGCATATAAAGTTTTACATCAAATGCTAAAGAAATACTGGAAGCATCAAGTCTTCTAAAATTTGCTAGCTCGCTTATTAATAACATAGCACCTTCTCCTTAATTTAATCCAGTTAGTTTTCCTAGCACTTGGGTTGTAAATCTGATCACCTAAGCACAGGTCAAACTTGCAGTTATCCAAGCTATATTGTAACTAACTGCTGTACTTGTATTAATGCTCTTTTAGGGGAAGGAATTTTAAATCTGTGTAGAATGGAAACATGTAGCAAATTGTGGAGTGATCCAGCTGAATGAAAAACCGATAGGATTGGATTTTTGTAGAATTAAATCCTTTGACCTGTGAGGAGGTGTGTCAGGTAAACTGATGATTTAATTAAGAAGAAGTCTCTCTCTTACCATTATTTGCAAACTGTGACTTAAATATGCATTATTTCAGCTTAAAAAGTGAGCAGTAAGTAAGCAGCTTTGCCACCTGGAGGTCCACTCCTCAGGTAGGAGTTTAAAGGAACATGTATAGATAACGACGTAAGTGGACACTCAAGAGGTCCGTGAAATCCAGCAGAGAAGTCCATCCCTTACCGAAGGACTCAGACCCCGAACGCAGAGCCATCCGCCATGGGAAAGCTCTCCTCTTAGGGGGGAATCTCACTCTTCGAGGAAGAAGTTAGTGTGCAAACCTTCATTCCAGTATAAGCTAAAACTTTTTAGAAGTCGGGGTCCCTACAGATCAAACTATTTAGAGATTGAGGTTTAGGCAATTCAGGATTTCCTAAGTGATAAAAACTTTTTAAACTATTATTTGTATTAGGAAAAAAACCAGTTCTGGCAAGTACTTATTAAATTATGTATACATGTTGCTTTAATTAAAGTGTTACCATTCTATGCAATGGAGAAGACCTTTCATAGAACACTTTGCAAAACCCTCCTACGGAGAACTGCTGATCGGGGCAGTGTGACCCACAGTATTGCAACACCAGCCGCCTGGGGACTTCGCTTCCTCAGCATTGCGGTAAATGTGGAAGCTCTGCTTAAGCTGCCAATTTGGGGACCCACCCCTAGGAATTAGAACGTTAACATGACAATAGGAAATAAGTTAAATCTAAGGAATAAATTACAAGCCAGCACATCATTACAGTAGTACGTGGAGGCAATCAAGCAACCCAGACCCTCCTTCAAAACTCAAACCAAACCTTTTCTAGGTTCGAAACTTCCATTAATGTTTTCCTTGTTTTCATTTTTGCTGCTTCTGAATTTCCTGGTTTCAGCTGGAAGTAGAAGTATCAGAATTTTTTGAGACGCTCTTCTCTTTTTATCATGCAAGTTGTAATGCTTACTGAGCACGTTTCTCCAAACTTAAATTCAAGCCTAGCCTCCCATTGACTCCGAATAGGGAACAAAACAGCAACCATGCTTTACATGAATAAAACCCTCTTTATAGAGTGGCCACCAAGCAATACTGTGAACAATCTGTAGACTCCACCAACTCTACTCTTCCTCCTACAGTTTCCTCTTTCCTCGGCGTAGCACTCCCTGCCACAGCAGCTGCCTCCTGACAGCATCCTGCTCTCCGGTGTGGCTGGCAGCTCTCTCACACTCTGCACTCTTTTCTCTCCACCAGCAATCACTTTTCCAGTCTCCTTCACCAGCCCTGCCACTTTTCCTCAGTTCATCCATTAGCACATTCTTCCCATCCAACCTTTCCTGAGAACTTTGTGGCAGGTTTTGAGCTGCGGTGGATATAGTGAGCAAGGCGGTTAAGACAAGGCGTTCTGACCCTCAGAAAACTGCAGCTCGGGCCGGGGAAGATGAACATGGTGACAATAACCGACACACGACAGAGTCAGCCCTGCAGAGCTGTCTAGGGTGCGATGGGGAGCAGGAGGTGACCGGCGTCACACACAAGGGTGACATGGCCCCAGTGGTGCCCTTCACAGGACACAGAAAATTAAGCCAGGGTGACAACACACCCCAGACTATGCCCACGGCCCTGGCATCACTGTTACTAATCGCCATTTTGTACTCAAAGTTCATGACAAGTAATACGGTCACAGAATTTGGACACCATGGGAGAGGGGTGACGGGGAAGGGACAGGAGGCACAAGACCGCCAAGCCATCTTAAGATTCACTTTCCTCTGAGCTGTTCCCTAGTGAAACTCCTCTGTCTCTACTCGCTCTTCTGCTCTGTGTATACAGACTCGGTTCACTTCAGAACTTTGGGCTTTCAGCTTCCAAACTACTGACACAACTGCAGTTTTTGGAACAGAGCTGGAGCACAAATACATATTATTATCTAATTTGCTTTTATTCAGTCATTCCTGGGCATAAGAAAAAAAAAAAAACAGTGGTTTTGACAACATCCTAAAATGCAACTGAGATTCCCAACTGGCACCCTCCCCTTAAATTGTTAAAAGCCACCTGGTCTCGCCAGGTTCATGGTTTCATCCAAAAAAGAAGTGAAATAATCTTTGCAGTGAGGAACACACATTTTAGATCTGACTGTTTCCGTTTATCAAATAGGAAAGAATCACAGGTCCTCTGACACAGCCTGACTCCAGCAGCCTCCACGATCTCCTGGGTGGGCCATGTGTCGCATTTCTGTTTAGAAGAAACTTACTCAGGCCAAAAAACGTACTTGAATCTCAGACTTTACATGTGTTACGATCTTTATCTCAAAACCCAGCCTGTGGCCCTCTGTGTTTGCCGTGTGTTTCTGTGATTTCTTTTTTATCTTTTCCTTTTCTTTTTCTTTGTCTTTTTTTCAGTAAATGACTCGATTTAAGTAACTAGAGTAGCCACATTTTGTAATATTTACTTTTGAAGATCTCCCAAAATTTTGGATGCAATAATCGTACGCTGTGTAGGGTACAGCGATATTCCAACACGTGCATGCACTGTCGTGACCGTCAGATGGGTGTCACTGGTGTACTCATCACCCAAACGTGTGTCATCTCTTGGTGCTCAGTGTCCTCTCTACTAGCTATTTCAAATACGTCATCAATTTTCGTCACCCTACTGTGCTGCAGAGTATTACATGTCAATCTCCCACCTCCCCAATTCACCCTGCCCTGTGACCCAGCCTGGCTTCTGGATTTTCTCAGACGGGTCAGGTCAGCTTCTTACTCACAGAATTCCAGACACAGCCCCTCCCGAAGGCCAGAGCCCTGTTTACAACGGAGTCTCTGGAGCTCTCCCCCCGGCCACGGCTCCCCTCCAAAGACCACACTCGGCACAACACTGAGAGGCCAATCTTTTTAAGTGGTGTGCACTTCCCCGCGCTCATCCCTTCTGCCTTCCAAAGTTTGGTGGTGCCGACTGGAGTTTGTGTTTCTTTTCCCTCCTCAGCTTCCTGATTCATATTCCCACAGATTGGCTGGCTGACTTGGAGCCACATGAAAATCTCTCCTTTTTGGGTTTTTGTTATGTTTTTAAGCATCCACCCCCACAATAATATACTCTTACATTGTACCACAAAACCTCTACACAGGGTCTTTCCTTTTCCTGTGTCCTTTCTCTTTCTTTGCCTTAGGGGTGCTAATTACACCCACAGCCCTTTCGCCCTCCCCTGGGATCCCATGATGCCTCCACTAGTGCCCTGTTCTTTCTCACCTCAACCCTTAAAACACGATCCTTCATTCATCTCTTGCTCAGCCCTACAGCAGAACCATAACTGTGTGGAGAGCAACTTCGTCTGTGTTAATTCTTCACCTTATCCCCCGCCATCTCCAATGATGCTGATCACATAATAACTATTTCACAAATACCCACGGGTAAGCCAGTTCTCTATGGAAAAAAAGATACGGGCTGGTGTCTACGTATGCTGTGCCTAAGGTAGTCCTGAGATAGACTCAGGACAGGTATCTCCGCTTGGCTGATGAAGGAAGTGGAGGTTTATGATTTGTACAGCATAACTCAGCTGCGCAGCAGCACTCAGACGAGGCCTCTGACCTTCTGGCGCATTAGCCTTCTCCTTAGCCCTGGGCAGTCTCCATTCGGATGCTGCCTGCTGGGTTATCCCAGTGGAGGACACAGTGGAATGAGGTCCAACTACTCCTGGGCTTCAGCTCTGTCTGAGTGATGCCTGCTAAGGCAACATTAGTAATCTCTAACGAAGACAAGACTTTGGATCAAAGCATTTAGGATTCCACAAACAACTTCCAAACCCTGTTATACACTGGCATTCTCTCTTAGCATCCTCTCGTTACGCCAACACTTAGAATAAGAAGCACTTTCAGGGGAAATCACACAGGCTTGAAGGGCGTGGAGTACCTGAGCCAAATCTTCTCTCAGCTCTACAGCTCTGTAATGCATAACTTAACCACCAAAGCCTTCTGTTTTCCTGGCACACTGAACAGTTCAAAGTGAAATATGCAAGCACCAAATTCAGTCTCCACTCCAAGTGGCAGGGGTAGTGGTTACAGCTGTGGTGGTTTAATAAAGGCTACATGTTCTACTCCATTGTCCACAAACAACACTGATAGGTAAAAATTATCAAAATTTGTTGTCTATCATCAAAGTTATCTCAAAGCCTATAAATCACAAGCAATTATACTGTGTGTGTTGATCCGCTCCAGCTTTTCCCAAAAATATACAGACATGGACATAAAGAAACATATGTATAACTCCTTCCTTTTTAGCAAAACTAATGCTTCCAAAGAACCAACAAAAACAAGAAGCATTTCAGAATGGAAGACAGCCAGAGATTCTCTCTCTGATCATTTTCAGTAATCTGCTTTAAAGTTAGTAAGAATTACTGGTGCTTAAATCATTTTTTCTACCCAAACTAACTTTTCATTGTGTGTGGGAAAGAGCTAAATATATATAGGTGATGAAACGATTTTAATTCCTTTTCTCAAAAGATAGCAGTGAGTGCTATCAAGGAAATATAACATCTTCATAGCAATGTAAATAGGAGACTAGGGTGAAAATAAATTGTTCACTTATTCTGACAGTGAAAATTATACCCAGCTTTACTGCCAGAATTTCCCGCTGTGAGAGATTTTCATTTTTTTCATTTCAGCCAGGTGTGCTGGCTCACACCTGTGATCCTAGCAAGAGGACTGTAGTGAGTTTAAGGCCAGCCTGGACTAAACAGCGAGACCCTGTCTCAAACAAACAAATAAACAAGCAAAAAGGGCTAGGGTTATAGCTCAGCTCGAGACAGAGAACTTCCCAAGCATATGCAAGCCCCTGGATTCAATCCCAAGCACCACACACACACACAAATTAAATTCCATTTCATTCATTCATCCACTGATTCAAAGTCACAAGGAAATGAGTTCTCATTGCACAGTAACTCTGTCAAGAGGTCAGCTGCACGTCACCCCCAAACAGCAACTGTCATGCAGTTAAGGTCCAGGATTTACCACCTATCTAGAAATGTTCTGACTTTAGCAAGCAGAACATTTAGTTTAGAACACCATTTTTGAAGACTACATTTTTCTTCCTCGTCATTCAAATTTTACGACAAAATATTGCCTACGATTAACTTAATAGGTCTCCTCCGTAATGTGCCCTGGGTTGCTTCCCTACAGATCTGTGCAGCTTTTGCACATGTCCTTTCTACAGATATCCGAGGACATGTGCAGGCTGTGACAGTAAAACAGTCGCACCTGTTCTTCCTCTGCACTGACTCTGAAAAACATCAACTACCTAATCTTTGTTTTAAACAACTAATAAGAATCACACAGCTTTACATTTGTATAGAAATTTAATTTTCTAAATGCTATAAGCCTCAATACATATTCCAACATATCCAGAAAGGGGAAACCATTCTTCTAAATCTAACACACCACTACACACAACACACACACACACACACACACACACACAGTGACTCACACTCACAGGGCTCTGCCCTAGTGGAGTGGACGCTGACTATTTCAGATGGGAGCCTGGGATTTACAGGAAAGGAAGCATCATAAGGCCTGAAAGGACTCAGACCAAGAAAACATTGTTTTGCTCCTGAAAGAAATTACCAAGAGAGACTCCATAAGGAGAAAGAGAGAGAGAGAGACTAAGACCAAAAGACAGAGAGACAAATAGAAGAGAGAATACTGAGGTCCATACGTTCCAGGACCTAAATACAATAAATGCACATTATACAGCAATGATGTGTAATTATTTTTACTTCCTTCAATATTTTTTAAGTCTGTCTTTCTCGTATCCTCAAAGGCTAGTGCCCAGCCCGTGAGCATGCCAAGAGCATGTGCTAGTCTGAGTCTCCCTTGTTATTTATTCCATGCCACCATTTTGAAACCAGGGGTTAGAAACCATCCGAATGGTAAGAGCCGCAGAGAAACTAGAGCCAGCCCAAGGCACACACTCAACAAATGCCAAAGAAACCCTCAGGGCTTTGTTCCCATGAAAACACACAAGCTTTAAGCTCCAGTGGTGTAAAAAGACCTTCTAGAGTCACAAGCTTGCCAAGGAAATGCTCTTATTTTCTTGCTTGGAGGTGTGGTGCTACTGTTTGTTCTGAGCTGGGGACTGATTCTACCACAGGAGAACAGTGCCATCACCAAGCTACATGCAGACTCTTCTCACATAGAAATGTTTTGGTACGGTAAACAGCCAGAGTGTGAATCAGCAAAATCATAGGAGCCCATTAAAAGTTACACTTAATCATTTCATTAGTGACTTTGACAGTAGAAGCATGGTGTATTCCTTTGCTGACAGAACATTTGGAACTCAAATAGTGAGAGCCCCGGACCCCTTGACCTTGGTAACATTCCAATTTTCTCAGTTCTAACGGCACTGCAGAGTCCACCAGAACTCAGGTGTCGAGCGTTCCAAATCACTTGTGGAGTTGATGGAAGATGTGTGGAGCTTCCACCAACACAGTACTGTCGTTAAAACTGGGTTTATCCAATGATATGCCAGGGTCTGTGTGTTCTGTCATCAAAGGGCAGAAGAGGAGGGTGGGGAAGCAGAAAGGAAGGAGGAGGCAGTGAAGATCTTTATGAAGAGGGAAAATGAGAAAGTCAAGTAAACAAAATCTACTGGCTTCCTCAACTCAGCTTAATCAGCTCGAAGGTGGCACATATAATAAACAGAGCCATGTGTGAGTTGCTAAGCAGGGTGTCTCAGGTGTGACTGTGTGCACCTTGCCTGCACGCTTCTTCAGTGCACTCTTAGCCCTCCTTGCTGTTTAGACAAGCGATCTTGCCTACTAGCCTAACCTGCTCAGCAGCCTACCCCCCTCTTATATTGTCTTCCAATTTCCTGGAACTTCAAAATCGGAGGAAGAACTTGCATGGTAGATTCTACTGTAGTTTTTTTCTGTCCCCAGTCATTGCCGTGTGACTTGCAGGATAGAGCCCTCAGGGAAAGAACATACTCCCCTACACCACTGGTATCACATGCTTGGCTCTGGCTGGTGACGCAGAAAGGGAAGTGACTTATGCCTCGGGAAGGCAGAAGCCTTCAATTCCGATTCCAGGTTCAGTGTTATACCATGGGCAGGCGTGTCCCAGACAGCGGCTGCTCACTCAGCCTGGATTCCAGAATAAAGAGGACACAGCGGGCATAAGCCAGCTTCATCCTACAGTCAGCTCACTAAAATGTGAGCAGGACTTGTGTCTTTCTTCAGACAAATCACTGAGTTTTTTTTAACTGCCACGTCAAAAGTCTGCCAAAAATTACTAACAAATGACTGTTACCCTTGTATATAAAACAAGAGAGTAATAAGGTTCAAGAAGAACCTTGAAGATGTGATATGTACATGAACCAACTCCCTACAATGAATGTATTCATTATGGTTCACAAATGTGTACTAACAAAGATATTTTAAAAGACAATCCTTTATGTGAAGAAGGAATTCTGATTTGATTCTTCTGTATTTTTCTCCCTTCGACATAGACACTGAGTCCTCAGGGAAGTGTTTCATTCAGTGTGGGTACCACTGCTATTATGATCGTTTCTAATGACGCTATTATGACGTTTCTAATCATGCATGTTTGTGATACATGATAAATACATTCATCCTGGAGATTGGCACATGTACTTTGCATCTTGATCCTTTTATTTATAACTGTGACTACCACTCCCTTTGTAGGAGTCCCATTAGCATCTCATCCTATGACCTGTCAGGTACACGATGGATCATCTGTTTTCTTGAGGAAAATGAGACAGTGAATAGAGTTTTTCTATCATTCAGGGGGCAGCCCGTATAATAGAATAAACCAATACCTTTTGCCAGGTGGATGAAAATCCCACTTTTCAATACAAATATAAAGTGTTAAAATGTTGTGCTTATACTATAAAGTAAATGGAAAGTGGTCAATTTTTGAAAACTAGAAAGCAAAATATATCCAACTGTCTCTGGATAAAACCCTTACCTTCAGTGGACCCTTTGGTGTGAGGGCGTTTATTGAGTTCATCCAATTTGTTCTTCATGTGTGAAAACCAGAAAAGGAAACAAGAAAACAAATCAGAAATGCTCTTTCTTTCCTGCACCATTCTCTCTTCTTAGCACTCTGCTAAATTTAAAAGAAGATCCGTAACTCTGTCGGTATCATAAACATCCCGAAGAAATAATATTTTATCCCACATTGACATTCTAAGCTCTCCTTCCTAATACTAAGCATCAACTTTAACTTCTCCATGAGTCTGTTTCCTTTCCTTAAATCCGTGGCTAAGTATTGTACCAACTTCCCGTGTTGGTAATGATGGTCACATATAAAAATCATTATATATAAATTAACTTGATATATGTAACAGTGCCTCAGTATTTCAGATTAATCCCTAGGTATGCTAAACAATTTCCAAACTAACGTATAAATTAGCTTTTTCTACACCTAGAAAAGTAATACCTCGGCAAGTCTGAAAAATAATGATCCAGCAACTCCACCCATCATTATATATCCTAGGCACACTCACTCAGGTACATGTGTGTGGAAATGCCTTTATAATAATGCCTGTGGCAGCCTTCTTTGTTAAGAGCCAACATTTGGAAATTACCAGTGTTTTCAAGTAGGAAAATGAAGAAAATCAGCATAGTATACTTAGACAATTAAATATAACTATTAGTGGTAAGAATGAGTGAGCTAAACTTTCATGATATGCATAAATCTATCTGAAAACACATGATGATGATAAGACAACTGTATGATTCATGTAGCATAATGCATTCATATAAAATGTATAATATCCAAAACTATGCCATAGGTTATTTGAGGAACCATACTAAAAGTTACTTCATATTATGTTTAAGAGATACATACAAAGAGAGTAAACGTGGTACAGAAACATGCAGTTGAGTTATATAGACTGTATTTTGGATCCCAGTTAATGCTAATAAGAAGGATGAAGGACAAGGAAGGAGAAATTTGGATCCACTGAATCTGTGATGTTTTTTCTTTCTTACAAGATGAGTACTGAGGTATGCCTTTTAGTCTTGCTTCTGTATGTATGAGAAGTTTTCTTTTTAAGGAAATAAAGGTAATCTTTTGGAGAAATGCACAGAAAAAATAAAAACAATTCAGAACTTCTCTAAAATAGTTTAAGACAAGATATTCAAAAGACTGCTCCTTTTCCAGAGAAAAGTAATCCAGAAAACTAGCTGCAACTGACAGATCCCTCTACCGCTTCCCAGGAGAATTTCCTATTGACCTTGGTGGCTCAGGTCTACCATCTGAGATCTGAGCATCATCTGCCTGTAATAATTTGCCTGCATGGTTCTCAGCAGGAGCAAAAACAGGAGAGAGATAAAAATGGCAAGAAGGCAAACTGACTTCCTCCAGCAGAGAGCCAACCTGAGGCCCTGGACTCCCAGGAATCCTGAGGGATGTGGAGGGAAGGGGCAGGAGACAGGGCAGTAAGAGTGTTATATTCCATTTCTCAGAGGCATAATAGAAAAATCACACATATACACGATGATAAAACTACACGTACAAATACATCAGATTCCTCGCTTTGGGCTGGCATCATTCAACTCAGTGTAGCAGCATTAGTCAATCCCTGCTACTAGAAGCATTGATTGGCAGCAGTAAAGGTCTCTGACCACTATTCAGTGAGCAAGTTACTGCTCAGTACTTGAATTTGAAATCCAAGCCTGCGCGCTATGGTGTGATGGGGAGTTGCTGAGCACCTTGCCCCGCCTGCTGTGTCCGGGGAAACTGGGCCCTAGGGCTGCCGGGAAGAGCAAACTCTGGCTCCCGTTAAGCTCCACCCACGGGCGACACCTGCGGGGAGCAGAGGGGAGCGCGAGGTATTGTCCCCGCCTCCTCTGGGCCAGGCTGCAGTGTGTGGGCTGCAGTCTTCCACCAAACACAACCGCTCCTTCCTGTCTCTGGGTTCTGGTAGCTGGCTCCCTCTCCGCCACTTTCTGGGGGTAGTCGGTGCCCTGCTCGCCCCAGAGGGCCTCACAGCTCCCCACCGACTCGGGCCACCCTGCCCGCCTTTGTGCACAGGTCTCTGTTAAATATGTCTGCAACGATCCTTTTAAAAGTGCCTGTTAGAGCCTCTTGGGCACAGCCGCCTGTTTCCCTGAGGATCAGGACTGACAGGCATGGGATCCATGACGGGACAAAAGAAACAGCCTCGGGCTAGAACTGGGAGCCACAAAACAGCCTTGTGGACTTCCTCCGCCCTCCTGTGCTATCCATATGGCTCCAAACCTCAACCTGAAATAACGAGATTAAAATTTCAGCTTTTTCAGTCACGCCAGCCAGTGATGCCACTTCAGGCGGCGGCCGCAGAAATCATTTCCACCGTCACGGGAAGTTCTGTGGACAGTGCTGGTCTCCACCCGTCCTGCTCCTCCAGGGTAGACAAAGACCACTGCTACCTCTGGCGCTACCTTATCATCACAGGTGCAGCCCAGGTTGAAGTCAGACTGGAGGTACATGATCCCCGGGTAGCTGGGCCTGGTGACTTCCTCCGGCATGGCTGGCCGGAAGATGTTGCTTCGAAGGAGGTGATTCAAGCTCCCGTGGGTTCCATTGTTAGGAGCTGGCTTTAATCCCAGGAGATCTGAAGCAAAGAAAACGAGCCTCGAGCTTCATAAAAGTTTGTGATCAGTTACAGTAAGAATCAGTCTTTCCCCTCCCAAGGGTCTGCACGACCCAAACACGGGCCACCCTTCCCGAGCCCCACTCAGTGTTTGACCACGAAGAGGGAGAGAAATTTCCCAAACCAAAGAGCAGGGGAACAGGGCCTGCTCAGCCACTGTCAGCTCAAGAATGATCGCTGCACTTCTCCAAGACTTTTCAATCCCAAATTTTGAAATGAGACCGATCACCAATAAAGAGCCACAAGCCTGCCTCTCATCCCTCCTCATGGGGACAAGAGGAGGCTTTGGCCCGGTGCCTTGAAGCAGCACCAGGCTGATTTCACAGCGAGGGATCAGTTGCCAGGCAGGCACTCAGGGCCTCACCCAAGCAGAGACGGCCAGGGAGACCCAGCAGCCAGACGGCAGGGGACCGGGTAGCCCCGACTCCTGGGCTCCCCCCTGACCACCAGACTGGCACTCCCTCACTAAACAGGAAAAGCTGTCCTCATTCAGTGACTGGAAGCTCAAGGAAGAAAAATAATTCAAAGCACAGAAATAGCTGGCCAGGGAGCAAGCTGGTGAGGTTTTAACTGGACTGCAACGCCAGGGGGTGGGAGGAGCAGTGTGCAGAACTCTGGCTTCACTGGGTCTCGGACCAGCGGCGTCGGACTGTAAGGCTGTTTGGATCAGCCAGAGGCTGCCAACAGCAACACCATGAAAACTCCCAGTTAGGCCTCTGCGCACGGAGACAAAGGCGCCTCAGAAGAGGGTGGCATTCTGTCCTCTGAACCAATGGGCAAATTACGGTATTTTTCTGTGGGAAGAGGAGACGGTCCGAGAAATAGACACCTCCCTTCTTTCTCTGACACTGAGGAAGTCAGTATATTAACTGAAGATTAGTTCGCTGGTTTTGATTTAAATATGTGACTTACCACACATGACATTGTAAAGCTCAATGTTTTCAAACGGAGGCACTTTAGTCTTGTATTTAAATGTTGGGCCATAACCTACAAAAACAGTCTTCCAAAAGAAAATAAAACACAAAGACAATTAACCATTCCCAAGGATGAGGACCAGCCCTTCCTCCCGGTACGAAGACCACCCAATGTCCCCAATTCTCTCCCTTCTGAGAATCGCTGAAACACAACGCCAGTTCCTAGCCCCACGGTCATACCTGCATGCTGTTGACCTTGTTATCAAATCCGTGGTCCCCCTGGAAAAAACATTTTCCGGTAGATTTCCTATAAACATCCAAAGATTTCCTGCTTGAAACAATTATATGATCAGTCAGTATTTCTCTCAAAATCACTCCAGTCGAGAGCCAATTTCAGGGTGCAGGGGTCTCTATGAAGGGGCTTTTAAAAGCCGATTCTGGGATAATTGGGGATCTCCCAGTACCACACGGGGCAGAACACTTGTCCCAGGCAATGCTCAGCCTGCCTGTGTGCGTCCCTCACTTCGGCACAGTGAGGTTCTCACCTGTAGGGTGCATTTACCTGCTGCACCTCCACATCCCCCACCCCAGGCTCAGGGCCAAGGCACGCTGGGCAATCAACCCATGCAGATCCGAAAGTGCCTGTGTACAAAGTTACCTATCAGCATAATCCAACTAGAGGACCATTAATAGTGAATGCCGTGTGACAGGAGTGGTGACAGTGCACATCCTTGCCTTGCTCCTGATTTTAGAGGAAAAGCTTTCAGTTTTCCCCATTTAATATGATGTCGGCAGTAGCTCTGTTGTAAATGCCTTTATCAGACTGAGATAAGGTCCTTCTCTGTGGTTTTTTGGGGGGATTCTCTCATGAGTGGATGTGGGATTTTGTCAAAGGCTGTCTCTACATCGATTGAGATGATCACATGATTTCTGTCCTTACTTCTATCACGTGAGGAATCACAGTTATTGATTTACACATATTGAACCCTCTTAGCATCCGTAGGGTGAAGCCTACTTGGTAATGATGGATGTCTGGTCTTTTCAGCAACTGGCTGAATTCTGATTGCCACAAAACCCTGGCATCACCAAAAAACATCCCTATTCAGAAATAGAAAATGGAAACACTGCTCATTTGACTTTCTCTCTTATGACAGGAAGACCGCTTTTTCAGAAGTATCCTGTGGCCCTTGCCCCCCAAAAAGTTTGTGTTAATGTAAATATTCCCTCAGTTCCTACAGGTGCATGGCACTAAAGTGCTGGAAGAAACAAAGACATCTAACAAATGCACAAAAAGTTCCTAGAGCATGGGGTGAGAATATACATGTAAATAACAATACAGTAAGTTCAAAAGCTCTGCTGCTGATGGAAAGACTCGGCTCTGGTCTACTCTGTCATCATTTTTCTCTGACCTTCTGCTCAGCTCCGTGTTGTCTTGATATCAACCCACCACTCACATCAAGCCTGCTCTCTCCCAAGATGCCCCACACATGAGGGGTCCCTGGGAGGACAGTCAGTCAGGACACTGTGGCCACTTCTGCGTGACACCTCTGTGAGAATTCCTTGTCTGTTCTATGTGGTAGCAGTAATTTCCTGTCTTCATGGGTCTCTCCTCATAATCCCATGTGCATAACTCTATCTCTAACCCGTTACGATGGCAGTAGCATGTGTCATGTTTGTCACCGGTGTCTCCTGAGGGTTCCATGCTGGTACCCATTCCTAGAGGACCAACGTTTTCTCTCCCTTGTACACTCACTGGAGAACCTAGCTAGGGTGTGTGTCATAGTTCCTCAGTCAGTGCAAGAGACTCACGACTCTTTCTTGAGAAGAAAACTGGAGAGAGAACCAGTAGGAAAGGGTCGTGTTCAGGTCTGTGTGAGATGAATGAACATTTACTGATTAACTATTCAATCCTGTCTGAAGCCTTCAAGCACGTCCTGCACTCCCTTCAAAAGCAGAGAATATTATCTTTAAAGTAAGGAGTCTTTGTAGTCCAAAAAAGGGCAAACATCGCAAATACTGAAAGCGATGTAAAATATGTCTACAATAACAGAGGTCTTAAGATTAACATTTCTTGGAGTCCTCTGCAAACATCACTACAGAGAAAGTCACCTCCACCAAGGCCAGATCAGCCCAGTACACTATGGGAAGCTCCTGGCTATGCTTCTGACTTGTTCAAGTCATAAAAATAAAAGTTAGAATGTTAATTCAAAAAATGAAGCCAGGGGCAGGGATTTAGCTCAGTGGTTCCACTCCTGCCCCACAAGTGCAAGGACCCGAGTTCGATCCCCAGTACTAAAAAAAAAAGAAAAAATGAAGCCAGGGATTTAGCTCAGTGGTTCTGTTGCCTGCCTTGAAAGCACAAGGTCCTGACTGAGTTCAATCCCCGGCACCAAAAAAACAACAACAACGAAAAAATGAAATGTATACACATGGATACACTGGCAGACCACAAAGAGATGCTGTAGACACTGGGAACAAATGAGTGGGGGTCTTGGCAGTTACTGCTCATCCAGAACATAAAATCTTTGGAAACTAAGGTTTCCACCTGGATTTCTTCTACTGATGACCATGAAACTTAAAGTATTTCCAGTTGCCAGAGAGCAGCGGCGAGGATGCAGGCCAGGGACAGCAGTGCCCCGTTACCTGGCCACGTGCCACCTGCGCTCCACCAGCAAGTGGATGTCCTCGATCCTCCTGTTGTTGGCATAGTGCAGACGTTTCGGGAGGTGCTGCTTCAGGTAAGGCTTGAAGTGCTGGTCTGGCTTTTTACACTGCAATATAAGCAAAAGTCAGTCTTCAGGTAGAAAGTCTTCTACAACAAGTCCTAGATATCCTCTCCCTTGCAAGCTGAAAACATTTTTCAGCCAAACAAAAGGGGATTAGTGAATGAGTAGAATATGTTGAAATAGTACATGCTGAAAACCTGTAGGTTCCAAGGGGATCAGAGAGCTTCTGAGAGGATGAAGCAGGCTCTCCGAGGAGAATGAGGAGTTCTTGAGATACATTCCTGCCCTGGGAGACTGGAACAGAGAGCAATCCCAACCCCAAGGTCTTTCCCAAGTGCCTCAAGTCGAGGGGTAGGAGCTGGGGCACAAAGGGTTACCCCCTAGCAGGCCGGGCTGCAGGTCGCTCAAGCGCTCGGGAGGTCTCCAGGCCTTGTGGGCACAGCTTGAGGCTGCGTTGCTCACAAGCACGCACTTTCAGTTCTAACACAAGGGCCAGGCGCTCTCCACTGGTGTCCCTGCCAAAGCCGCTGCAGCAGACATGGCTCAGAGGTCTGGAGAGCTCTTGGGGACACATACTGGGGACGGCCGGGCTGAGACACCCTCCTCCCACCCTTGGGGAGGCAGACGCGGGAGTGAGCGGGCTCCAAGCACCCTCAGGGCCCAGGCCTGGGAACTTGTGACACTTACCGTGAGGTTAGCCATGATGACTTTAGGGTCGTCTATGGGAAGAGAAGCAGAGAGATCTCAGAAGACACGATCGCCATCAGGGAGAGAAGTCATCTCACCCCACCCCTGAGACTGTCTAAATGTGTCGCTTTAACGTCTACTAGGGAGGGGTAGTATTTCAGGAAGTGAAATGCAGCTGGATGAGTGCAACCCATCCTGAGGCAAGCTTCCCTGCTAGGCTCAGTTCTCCTCCTCTGGAAAGGAATTCCTCTTTCCATAGCACCAGAACATCACTAGGTAAACTGCTTCACATTTTCCTAAATGGTTCTGAAACACAGACTTCATTTATTTTCAATTCAATGTCAGAAACTAAGCTGGGCATTTGGGGTTTCTACTGTAACTTCCTATTTATCTGCACATCTTAAACAAGTCACCATCCACTTTAAGATGAATCATCTATGTGATGTTTACGCACAGTGGAGTACTACTCTGCCATAAAGAAGGATAAACTTGAGTCACTTATAGGAAAATGGATGCACCTTGAGGCCATAATGTTAAGTGAAATAAACAGGACACACAGCTTAAATAGCACATGGTTTTTCTGACGTAAGAAGCTCAAAGTATAAATAAGGAGCAAAATAAAAGATAGATAACAGAAGACAAGGAGAGAAATCTTTCACAAATGGGGAGGGACCAAGGGATGGAGGGAGGAAGGCGAGAGGGAGGGGAGGGGATGAAAAAGAACGGAGATGTGTGCTGTCCGTGCACCAGCTCCCCACGAAGAGCGTGATCGCTCTGTACTGCAAACATGCACTCATAAAGATAAAAACTTTTAAATAGATTTAAATATAAAAAGATGAGCATACTAATCCATTGAGTTATGTTTTCCAAAGGAGTTTGTTTTTCTGGTAATCTCGTGGTCTAATTACAGAGGAGGCAGCGCCCCTCTGGCCCTCGGGGCATACACACACACCCCTGGGTCTCACTACCAGCAAACAAAGATTATTTTAGTCAATACTCTGACCTAACTATGTAAATGATGGCTGTGTAAAGACAGGATTCTATTATCTGCAGGTCTGCTTTTGGGGGGATTGTGGGGAGAAAGAGGAGATTGTAGGTTGTTTGGATTTTGTTTTCTTTTCAGAAACTTGGTTCAGTCTATCATTACAGAATCAGCTCTGCTCAGAAGAGGGCCCTGCTACGGAGATCAGCCCTCTCTGGGACAGAACCTTCCAGAACAGAAGCTCCGGGAACAGAAGCTTTGGGAACAGAACCTTCCAGAACAGAAGCTCCGGGAACAGAAGCTTTGGGAACAGAAACTTCCAGAACAGGCCCTATCTCTGTCACTTACTGCTCCATTGCTCAGGGCTTGTCACAGAGCAGGCTCTCGAGAAACGTTTGCTGGGAAATATTAATAAGTATCCGTTCGTGTGTGCTGAAAATGCACGCTGCCCTGCAGCATAAACAGCCATACTCCAAAGCCTCCCTTCAGACTCTCAGTTCTACAGCTATGAAATCTAGAGCTAAGAGGCAAATCCCATGCTGTTTCAGTGGGATCATGTTTCTGTCATGTCTTTCCATGGAAAGTAAGTGATTGCAAGAACAATCACAGTCTAGCTTCGGAGATGCTGTGTCTCCTCCAAGGCTCACTGAGCCGAGGGGCTTTAGAAGGTGGGAGCTGCAAACAGGAGGAACCAGGCGTGCAAAGCAGGCTCTGAACCTGCAAAGGACTCGGCAGCCTCATGAACCTGCATCCTCAAAGGGACCCACAGAGTCAGTCCACGCTCTTACACAGTGAAGAGGTAACCCAGCACGGAGCAATCCTGTGCTCATCGAGACCCCAGAGAACCACTGGGAAACAACCAATGGCTGTGTCCGTGTTTGGGATCCTGGTGTTAAGGTCCCCACCTTTTCATGCTCACTGTTCTCAAGGGCCAGGACTAAGAATCAGCCGATCTGGGTTCAAATCCCAGCTCCTCCACTTATGAATCGTCACCCTCTGAGCCAGTTCCTTCATCCCACTCTGACATCTGATGCTGTCATCTACAAGGGGACATGAATGCGCATCACACGGGACCTCTTGGTGTGTTAAATAAGACTGTGTACGTGTTCACTCGAAAAAGTGACACAATGGAGACACGGCTGTCGTGGCTGACACATCCACAGCTCTGACTGTGTGCTAACCGCAAGTCTAGGTGACACAGATGGAATCTCTCCTCCAGTCTCCCCCAAATCCCTACTTTACAGATAAGGAGGAGGAAGCATAGTGTTAAGCAGCTTGATGGCACACCTGGCAGAGCTGGAGTTGGATCCTGGACACCTGGTTGCTGTTTTCACCACCCCACCTCTACTGTCTGCCCCAAAATGAAGTCACACACAAGGCTGGGGCGTGTCTCAGTGGTAGAGCATTTGCCCAGCATGAGCAAGGCTCTGAGTTCTATCCCCAGCACCGCCAAAGGTGGAGGAAGAAGAAGAGGGATGGGAGAAGGGGAAGGAGGAGGAGGAAGGGGAGGAGGAAGAGGAGAAGGAGGGGAGGAAGAGAGGGAGGAGGAAGACCGGAAGAAGAGGAATGGAAGGAGGAGCCAGGGGGAGGAGGGGGAGGAGAAGTAGAAAAGAGAAAGAAAGCGATCACATACGGAAGTATTTTGTAGAGCACCGAACACGGCTTCATTGGTAGCTATTATTACACAGGCGCCCCGTCTTTCTCCCCCAGACAAACTCCCCGTCAGATTTAAGGATGTCAGAAATACCTCTCAAAATAGACAAACTCTTGCATAACCCCTAAAAGGCAAATACCAAAATCCAAAGCTAACTTAAGGACCTGGGCCCAGCCTATGGTGACAGCCACCTTCCTCAAGAGAGCAGAGACAGAAGCCACAGGGGACAGGGCAGGCCAGGGGTGCATGGCGAGAACAGCACTGGCCTTTTACTGCACGGCATTGCTACAGCCAGCCTGGGACCTCGTCCCACGGGTGCCGACACAGGAATGTCATTTGGGAAAAACTTAACTTTCCAAAAGCTTTAAGCTTGGTGTCAATGCTGTCTTATTCCCAAGGCTAAAAACTTTTAAAAGATTGGTTTTTTGCCCATAATGTAGTATCTCAAATAAAACTATGGACTTCTCAAAACCGAGGTAGGTGGCATCTTTTTAGCCCACAAATCAATTCATGTCAGTGGCAGATCACAATCAACATATAAAATGAGCGACAAGATTATTCCTGTTTGTTTCCAATCTTTCAGCACATCCGCCAGTCCCCCTACTGTTTTCCTGTCCTGAGTTCTGCCAGTCATTTGGACAAAGAGGAAAAACCCTTCCACAAAGCCCCTGGGAACCGTCGGGGTCCAAAGGGTTCTGGCAGACCCCATTTTAGGTCCAGCTAAGGGGCCAGCCTAGGCTTGATGTTAAAAAGAAAAACTCCTCTCTTGCAAACACAAGTTTACAGTTACAAACATGCCTCAAATTAAGTTTAATTTCCACGTGATGAAAACAAGAGCAAATATTTGTATAACACTACTCTGTGCCGGGAGCTGCTCCAATACACACAGATTAATTTCCACAGCAACCCTGAGAGATACACACTGCCTGTTGTCATCCCCACTTCTCAGATAACAAAACTGAGCCTCGGGGTCCAAACGGCTGACTTCCGGTCACCTGGCTAAGCAGTAGTTTTAATAGTCCACATCTGCAGAGCATAATGGCCACGCTCACTGCAAGGAGCTGGCGCACACACAGAACACTGCTTCACTCCTTCTCCATGCCCTCGCCCTCATTCTATCTTTTGGTCCCTTCCCTTCTGCAGAAGTTCCATCTCCCTGTTTCCTACTACGTAGTTTTGATTTTGCTCTTTAATTTACTTATAATTTGGGTTTCTCATATAAGAGAAACCTGCAATATTTAAGCTTGTGCATTGGATTTATTTCACTTAGCATTATGGTCTCGAGATGCATCCATTTTCCTACAAGTGAGTCAAGGTTATCTTTATGGCAGAATAGTGCTCCATCTTGTGTAAATACATTTTCTTTATTCATTCATCTGTTGGTGGACACATAGGGAGCTTCTGAGATTCAGCTATTATGAGCTGTGCTGCTATAAACATAGGAATGCTAGGATTTTTTTTTCCCAAGTATTCCAGTTTCACCTATTCCACTATATTATCATTCTACCCACTTCATACTTTAAGAGTCAACTTACATTTAGCATTATTGCTAAATTTGGACCGGATTCTTCCCAGAGTTCCAGGCACTAAGGTAATATCATCCACGTTGGTCAGGTAATTGCTCAGAAACTCAGTTCTTTCACAGGTGACATCCTCCATTCCTGTGGAGAGGGAAAGAAAAGTATTTTCATACAGCATTAAAATTAAAACCTTCATGCAGACACCCATGATGACCTCCAGGCACCTATTTACTGTTCATAACCTAGTGGGCAGAACCCTCACATTTTCCTTAACTTGACTTGAAATTTTTTTAACCCTTCTTTCCAGAACCTTCCACTGGGCTCTGATTTGGCCCTAGAAGGTTGAAAAATGCATCCTCTTAATTTTCATTTTAAGCTATTGAGCAAGAATAGCAAGACAAAGGAAGCAACCATGTTTTTAAGAAAACAATTTACATTGACTATGAAAAAGAGCTAGTCTTTAAAAGAAAGTCCTAGATTGCTTTAAATTCTTTCTAGCTAAGAATCGTATAAATAACTGAAATACATGTTTTGTTGTCTTTTAGAAAATGTCGTTTTTTCAGCTCTCTCTCTCTCTCCCTCTGTTTCTCCCATCTTGAGCACATAATCAGCAGCTCTCCTCTGTCTCCTCCGGTGGCCTTGAATACCCCTGACAAAACAATGCTGCCAATGAGAGATGAGCAAGCAAGAGATCTGCTCCAATGACCACCCAAACTGAAAAACAAAATAATGCTGAAAGAAAACAAGTTGAAAACAGTGTAATTAGCCACAACCGAAAGCTAGCAACTGCAGCACAGAAATGGTGGAGGTAGGGAATTTTTTTAACCAACTAATGTTCCTTTCCTACCCCCAAATGGGTTTTCTGCCCCCCATCAAGAAAAGCTTCTTAATCAATATTTTTAAAAAGAATAAAAACAAAAACTCAAATCTTAGAATTACAGACTAGAGCAGCTAATAGAGACCTTTATTGTCATTGGAGGAAATCAGAAGATGACATGGAATTAGAAAGGTTAAATGTCCTATAATCCCCTAAGAATCCAGTTTTACTCCCCACGATCTGGTTACCCACGGTCCACTAGCAGTCCAAAAAAACTAATGAAAAGTTCCAGAAATAAAGAATTGCTGGGAGTATGATGAAATTCATGCTGCCCTGCTACATCCCACCTTTCTCCAGCGTCTCCACCCCACGGTAGTTGGGAGAGAAAAAGGAGGGCCATGTTCACTCTCTAAGAGGGAAAAGCGGGTATTCTATGAAGGGTGACCTAAGGTTTGGGACTAAAGATTTATAACCCAGAGTGGCCCAGATCTAGTATTCTCCACTCAATCCTTGGTGGTGCTGGTGCTGGTGGTTATTGTTGTTGTCCTTGTTTAACACAAATTGGAGTGGAAAGAAAAATGTATCCCAGTGTAGCACAAGGATTATTTTTACCTTATCCTTTAGTATACAAACTCTTGGAAATAAACATTAAAACAATAAATAGTTACTGTGTTCTAGTACCAGATTAGTCCAGGAAGAGAGTCTCCAAATACATATGAATAGAAGGCTGGAAGGATTCTCACTCATTACCTTCTAGGCAATCACATAAACTACTCCAAGGATGAACAACGTTCTCAAGATTTCTGAGCAACCTCAGCTTCATCAACTGTGTCACAACCTCCAAATTCTTGGCCCTATCTGGTGCTCTCCACTAAGTCAAACTCATGGAGCATGACTGTGTGGAGGGTAAGAGTGAGTCCCCTCAGGGGAATAAGTTAGTCCTCATGGTTTTTCCTCCTAGTTTCTCAGAGATGTTCTAGGAAGATCTGGAAAGAAAACATCGGCTCAACAGAAAGAGCTATGATTAAGGAAATTCACCAGCCATTCTAAATGGAACTACCAAAGAATCAACCAGTTTCCATCTTCCAAACTCTACTAGAAGGGAGTAGTCCCAAATTCCAAGGTCCTTATTTCCATGTGATAGTTCTGGAATACAATGTCTGTGAAATAAGGATGCCCTGGGCTGGGGATTTAGCTCAGGGCTTCCAACGCCTGCCTCACAAGCAGAAGGTCCCGAGTTCGATCCCCGGTACCAAAAATAAACAAATAAATAAGGGTGCTCTATGAGGCTCCCCTCAGCTCTATAATCATACCGTGTTTATGATGTTCTTGATCACCTCAAAAAAAAGTAGTCATGAATTTTTCTACTTTATGAGGTGATTTAGAAAAACTGCTTCCTAGACTGCTTCTTCCTGTCTCTAATAGTCTCCTGGATCGCAGAAAGGCCCTCTGGTCTCTGTCTTGAAGTCCCTCAGTGAATTCAAGGAAACCATTGATTTATATGCACTTTCTTTGCCTCTGCCTCCTAATCATATTTAGTCTTTTGTAAAACACATAAACTCTGTGGGGCCCTTTTGAGGATATGGTTCACAGGGGTAAGAGCTTAGCATCTGATACATCACGTTCACAGATGAAGTGATTAATACCACTAGAGAAATATCCATGACATTTTAATGAGATACATCTTTATAGACAGGCCTTTCCTACAAGTAAAAGGAAGATACTGAAGTCCCTATTCTGATTAAAATAAACCTAGGCCACCTCAGGTTGACTCATACTTTTCCATCAGTACCTAATTTCTTCCCTATCCTGAAGAAAAGGAAAAATGGGTAAAGAATAGAACCTTGGATTCTAAAAACAAGGAATCCTTTCCTCAACACCCACAGAATCACCTACTTATCCATTTATTAGCAAAGAAAGACACTGAGCTTTACCGTGGTCCCCCACAAAGATGACATTCACACAGCGATGCAGCTTGAGTTGCTTCAGCCCATCCATGAGTTGCCCCATGGTTTTGTCAATGTCCCTCAGAGGGTTTGTCATCTGGAAAAAAGAGCAAGTCAGACCTCACAGGCTTTGTTTATTGGTTTGTCTGTCTCTTTATCTTTAAGTTTCCACAGATCTTCTACCCTTAGAACATTCTGGAAAGAAAACTTCAGGCCCAGAGGCAGAGCTTTGTCTAGGGGAGAGTTTCCTGGCATTTTAAGGGCAATCTGGTCCAAGCACTTTATATTCTTTCAGGAGAATTAAAACTGCTCCTCATCCAATCCCTGTCATGATTCTTTGGCACATGAATATAGGAAATATGACTGAGATCAATTCTTTTTTTAGAGGTAAAATGGGTTTTCTAAAATGTAATGACATTCTGTAAATCCAAGACTTTTAAGAATGAACAGAAAGTCAGATGGATAGTTTATGTGCTTTACCTTCTATGAAAAATCACATTAGGCTTTGAACCATGGTAAGAAGATAGTGGCTAAGTAAATCAAAGGAATTCTGAAGTTATGAGCATAACCTTCCACTTGGATCTATCTTGTGTAACAGAGACCTTAACTGTCAACTTCTGAAAGCAGTAGATCATTAATAGAAAAAAAAACTATTCTAAGAAACACACTTCTGCTCCTCAAATTATTTCGTTTCAAGCTGATTTTGCATGAAATAACAATCTACAGGGTCCTAACTTACACAAAAAATGAATCACTGAGTTTTTTCTAGAAGGTTTCTTATTGAGTCTAACACCATTTCCAGAGTCTAAAACACAACCCACCTGTTGTTATTGCTCCAATGGAAGTTTCTAACGACATGAGTATTTCCACATACGTACCCCAGGCTTTCTTTCTCACCTCATCTCTAATCGCAATGGAAAGAGTTTTAAGACACTTCACATGCTTCGAACACGTGACTGTACTTTAGAGGAATTTTACTGCTTAGCTAACTATCAGACAGACCCATGATGACAAAGAGCAGAAGAGACCTGAATTTCACTTTTGCTCAGGTACATAATATTATCTTCCATCAGCATCTTCCCAGATGATTCAAGACCTTTTCTCACGTTATCTCATTAGTACTATCAGCTGTGGGGTCAGTATTTCAAATCCTATCCCAAGGAATAAATCACAACAGAAAGCTTTGAAATGAGATGTGCAGCATAATCTGCGAGGACTGACAGATCTGGGACTCTGTGGCAGTTGCTTCTAAGAAAACCATCCTCTCCTCCAATATCTTTGTCTAGACAAAGAAATACCAAATGCAAAACATATGTCAATTCTTGGCAATGATTTATTTTCCTTTACTTAGCAGGACAATTCAGGTAAAATCCATAGCCTACTTCTTAGCAACCAATTCAGACGATCATAAATAAGATCCCGGCTCAGAAGTTGCTGCAAGTTTCAGGACAAGTAACAGCCACAAGCTCTATGGAATATACTAGAAAGAATGATTATCCATGTCACTGGAGAAAACACGACTCTATCTGTCCACTGTTTACACATTCATTCCATCTCAGCTATTCCTTTGTCTCTATTCTAATACCTTTTCTGATTGCTGAACACTTAGACCACTAATCTAAGTCAACTTTCCATTGAGTTCTAATCCGCATTGTTTTTGAGCACTATCCTTGCTACCTCTAAGGTTATTCTCAAGAAGCAGGGCCAGAAACCACTGTGTCTAAATCTGTACATTAAGTGCAAGCAAAACCCACAGCCCCCTTAACAGTCACTCCAACCCAGATGCCAATACTAGTGTGAGGGCAAATAATTCCATGGAAAATAAAAGGGTCCTTTTTGCAATCATGCTGAAAGGTCGGGAAGTCTTCACATCACCATTAACCTCTAAAGTGCCAGATTCTTCTGGCCCCAAAGCCAAGAATGACACACAGGAGAGTTTTTCTAAAACATAAACAGCCAATTTTCAAACCAAGGCACCAAAGGAAATCTCCGACTCATTCCTGCCCACCACAAACCTTTGGAACGATAGATGAACTTACTTTGTCCTGACGAGTTTCCGCTGCATAATGATCCATCCTATGTAATTTTCTTCTTCTTTTCTTTGGAGGAGCAACTGGTCTTTCCTGTCTCCTCTTAGGGGCAACTTTCCTCTTAGGTCTCTTAGCCGGAGTAAGAGGTGAGCCATAACTACTCTCCTGTACTGGCGGATAAAGATGGCTCCACTCAGAAGCCGTCTGCCCCCAGAGCTCATGCTTCCCCGTCCGGGGTCACAGAGTCTTAGCAACACTAGGTCTCCACAAGTGAGAACACGTCAGAGAAGGGTGAGTCGAGACCTCGATAAAGAGAGCCTCCTGCAGGGCTGCGGATGCTGCTGCCACAGCTCCACACTGAGAGCAAAGATGCAATGTAAGACGACCTCACCGTGTGGGTTTCTTCTGCTGAGGAGCCCACTTGTGGCATCCCCAAGGTGACGCGAAAGAAGCTGTGTGCTGCACAGCTCCCGCGTTAGGGAGAGACTGTCTTGGTTATGAAAACCTCTCCACATGTAAAATACTAGCTTACAACGGAGCAGAATATGGTCACTCGATCAGCTCAAGTTGGACTCAGGCTGACGAAGGTGGTTCTGGTCAAGAATCTGTGAATACCCATTCACACCACCAAATAATCGGAGCACTGTCACCTTCCTTGCCAAGGACCGGGGAAAAGGTGAAAACTAAAGGTGGAATGAAATATAAATAATAAACAATCCTCCTTGGTCCTGCAGGTGCATTCACAAATCAAGACTCTCCAGATAAGAAGGGTTTCTTTTCACTGACAACAGGAATTTCCAGGACAGGGAAGCTCTAACATAAATAGTACTGTACCTTGTAAAATGGTCTTTGAGAACTGGGTAAAATGTGAAAACTCATCGAGATGTCCACGTCTTTGTGTACAGACGCAGAAAGCCTATGTAACTTGCTCTCCAAAGCCCCTGTGTGGGGGAACGACAGTGCTCTGTGTTCTGTCTGAAAACCCAGGGGCGGTGGAGTCTGATGCACCGACTAACAGAAGAGGGTGACCTTTTGCAACCTGCCAATGTTGGAGGAAATCTGGCCCCTGATTTGCTGATGGTGCAAGGGTGAATTCAAGCAGCAAGCCCTGCGTCTACCTTGCTAGCTTCTCTCCGGGTGGGATGGTCCCCAGAGCCATTCTGATGCAAGAAGGGGCAGGAGGAGGAACGAGGTTAGTGAACCCAGGAAGGAGCACGTCTGCCATGCGGTTTCGCTCTTTCCGGGGCAAGCAACTGCAGGGGCGGGCGCTTCTGTCTCTGCCTCATCCTGTCTAGCACAGCGACCCAACAACACATCCCCACAGGAAGGTTTGGGTCATTTGAATGCTGCTAGTTTTAGGCATATCTCCACGAGAAGAGCAAGAAAAGGAAAGGAGAGTTTTTCCATTTCATGGTCACCAAATACATTCTGCTAGCGTCAGATCTGCCCGTCAAACACGAGGCCATTTGCAAGAGACTCCAACATTCCCAGGACTTTCCAGGCGAGCCTTCCGAGGGCAGCGGGTTAGATGAGCAGGGAGAAACAGGCTTTAGCCAAACTGAGTTTTCATCCAATAATTACAGTGCATTTGTTTCCTTCTTCAAATGTTAGCAGTAGATGAAAGCTAAGTTTTCACTGACCAGCCATACTGTAGCCTGAATTGAGAAGTTTTAGCCTGAGGTTATTAAGGTAGAGGGACACATTTTCCTACTTTTCAGAAGGGTACTTTGCCCTCTGAAGGTAGGGACTAGCCAGCCAAAGCTCTGCCTCTAGGCCATGAAGAGCAGCCGAACAAAAGGTCACAGAGAAAGCATAGAAGGTCAAAGAGGCAAAGATTGCGCCAATAATCAAAAGCAAGCATATTTTTAAACATTCACCATTACACTATGAAACCAGGAGCAATACACCATTTCTTGAAGCTATCAGCCCAATGTTTGGTCATTTCATTTAATAGATTTCTGAGAATCATCCTGGAAAACAATGTACTCAAATAGTAAGCAAATAAAGCACAAACTTCAGTTGAATTCATCCTATTGTAGTGTATAGCATTTTGCTAGTAGAATCATTTTAATTACATTTCAAAGCCAAGTTATTTTCTTGTACGTAAAAGACAACATGTTACTGATTTTTTAAAATAATATATTACATAGTATTCATAATCTTCTCGCTCACAAAAAATTTATATGATAGTACATAAGAATATATGTATGTACATGCATGTATATAGGATACTATATATGAGTATGTAAGTCAATTGGTCTGTCATACAAAAGAGGTTTTGCTGATTCACTTTGGGTTCATGTTTTAAAAGTATAAAGTGTATTTTATTTTGGTTTGGTTAAATAAGATCCCTAGAACCAAATGCAAAATAGTTAAAATCTCAAAATATTCCTTCCTTTATGAGGAGGAAGTGATCAGATTATCAGAGATTTGCTATTACTGAGACATGCTAGAGGATTTACCCAGTAGTTCTACAAGCAAGTCCCAGCTGCAAGAAACGTTAGTACTAAAAAGAATGTATATAACATGAATAGTACCAACTCTTAATTCAAAAGTACTACAGGACAAAAAATGCTTGTATCTTTATGAGCGACCCTAGACGTAGAAACCATCATTATGGCAAAGGAAGTATTCTATATCATGCTTCATTTATTCACTGCTCAGTATTTCTGGAACAAGAAAAAATTGTTTCTTAATTAAAACACATACACATATGCTTTCAATAAGTAAAATTCAAAGACATTCATGGATAAAGAACACTCATTGTTAAGTCATATAACTTAAGGTACAAGTTACACCTCATCTGTCGTGTTAAAAGTCGACTTTTGCCTTAAAGACAATGTTCTGTGTGATGTGAACTCAGCTACTACTGGGTCACTTTGCTTGTCCCCTGAACTGAGGGAGGCACACATGAAGTCCATGGGAAGGACCAGGCTCTGAGAGCCAGGAGGGCTCCTATTCTACCTCCAAGTTCTACTTACCATCCCAGCAACCTGGACAGCCCGGTCTCTCCAAGACCCAGCCTCCTGCTTTCAAACGAATGGCTGTACCAATCCCAACCCCTGCTTTGCCTACCGTTGGGGTCTTTAAGGGATATCCTTCCAGCAAAGTTGAACTTTTAAATAGAGCACATGGAACTGCTTAGGTTTAACGTTTTAATAAAACATGGCTGCCTTTGTTTGCTTTAGATTAATTTCAAAGAAAGTCATCCTAAAGATAAAACAACCATTCTTACTTTGCTTTTCTTTCCTGGCAAAATAAGGTTTCTGTGTCATGTATGCAGATGTTTATCTCATTTTATCATTTGTGTTTCATAATCATGAAACATGGTTAAACATCAAAGGGTGATAAAAAGAGCATCAGATTTATACGACTTCAGTGATTTAAGACAAAGAATGGTTTCACATAGCCACTAATTTCTAATGTTTAAAAAGAAACCACTGACCACTAAGTTGACAGTAAAGTATCAGAAATACCGACGGAATCTTGGTCGTTCCTTTGTTTAAACATGCCGCAATTTGTTCAAAAATACTTAAACCGAGATACATTTATCTGCATCTCTAACTCATTTTTTATGCTGAATGCACTGAATTTAACGGAAGGCAACAGTGGTATTATAGGTTATTGGAAAATTGGAGGCAGTTTCCATCAACAGAGTTTTTAAAATAATTTCTCAACTGGCATTAAGTGTTATTATGTTAATGTACAACTCATTACCCTGATTAAAAAAGGTGGAAAACACTGACAATATTAAAAAGCCTTGACATGTAGGTGTCATATTTATATTTTTATTTATTTTTTTTGGTACGGGGGATCGAACTTGGGTCCTTGCGGTTGTGCAGCAGGCTACGAAACCACTGAGCTAAGTCCCCGGCCCTGGTGTCATATTTTTAAATGATTTATGTGGTGATGTTGGGAAAGTTTCCATTCTAGATGAGAAAGGAATATAATAAAATATAGTTGTGCCTCAGTTCATGCATGCTTTTTTTGCAAACAATTTGATTTTGCAAACAGAAGCATTGCACAAAATTTTGTTTTTGTTTGCAAACTCTGCATTGGGTGACAACCATGACCGCAGCCAACTTTCCCACACAAACACGAATGTGGCCATCATTTCCAAAATTGTTGGACAAACCAAGTTCGTGAACCGAGGTACCAGTGTATAACCATTCCTTTCCCATCTCCTGAATCTAGTTATCCCGGACCCTGACTTACAAACTGACTGTCTTCTACTGACAAGGCTGAGTGTTGGATAAAAGGGTGTCACGCAAGTCTGCTAATCAGATTTACTCAGTAGTTAAGAATTCATTTTACCTTTGGGGAGGGATGGATATGTTCATACTCTTTCATATGGTGATGGTTTCATGGTACAAAGGTGATGGTTTCATGGTACAAATGCCAATGTCAAAATCTATCAAATAAAAACGTGCCCAGCACTCTAACATAGGAAGCTGATTGTACCTACTAAGGCCATTGGGATTCTTAGCTAACCCACCCTCTCTGAACCGCGTAGTCATTGGAAGGGTGCTGAAAGGCAGTTGTCATGTTTTGTATCAGGTTTCATTTCAGGAGTCCCTCCCACTCTTTCCTGTGATAGTTTTGCCAGCCCTTCCCAGTCCTCCTTCTTCTGATTGAAACCTACAAGGCTGGAATTCACCCCATTTCCCATTAACATCAAGTTTAGGGTATGTTTCAACATCAAAGCAATCTGAAATACAAGTTCCCGTAAGAGAAACCTGTATGTTTGGGTTGTTTTTAAATGTTTTTAGTCTTGTTATTGATTATGTATAAACCTCGTAGACAAGAAGACCCAAAGACTGCACAAATCCTAAAGCCAGGTCGGTGCACCAAGTGGCCCAGGAGGCAGTTTCTGTTCAGGCAGATGATAAACTACTAACCTCAGGGCCGAAGGGGCCGTACTTGTGTCCAGATAAGTCAGGCTGTTCAGAATAGAAGGCGTAGACAGACGGCCTGCGGGAAAATTAGAAGGCTCAGAACTCACACCACACAGAGCAACCATCCACACACACTTTAAAAAAAAATCCACGGAAAACTTTTCTTCTCCTATTGCATCCACGCCCTCGAGACCACTCCCACTATGGTAACCAGCTGGCACCACCCTGAGGAATCGAAAGTCAAAGGAAAATGCGAACACTCGCTCAGGTCTTTGACCCCCAAGATCACAGAGTCCAGAGATAATTTGCGCAGGCCTTCCCATCTGCAGCCTGAAAGAACCAATCCGTCCCAGGACACAGTCGGCATAGCTGCTCCACCTCTGAGATGCCGAGGGTTCGTTCCTCACAGCCAGAAAGGGCCCCCACTCCCTGTCATGGCCAGGTTAATAGCTGCAGTTGTCCATGTAGTGCTGTGGTTCCCAACAGCCCAATCCTTCTTAGGGAAATAAGATTCAAAGCTCACAGGCACAGAACTTTACTAATGCCAGTCCTCGGCTTCCATTTCACAGTCCATTTAGGGTTTCACCCACAAAGTCCCGGAGAGAGAGCAAGAGACAGAGGAAACCATACCTCTCATTGTCTGGCAGGGAGAGCCACTGCAGGATGGTGAGTATCCTCCGCTCGTGAGGGATGGCGCTAAAGTCCGGGACAAACCGACAGAGCATCTTATTAGCCTGCACCCAGGCCAAGCGTCTCACTTCCCACCGCCTGTTTGAACTTCGCTCCAGTAAAAGGCCTGGATTAGCATTTAAACCTCCATTTCCTTTTCTGACATAGCACCTCGCTCACCCCCTTCCACAGAAGACCAGGCTGGAAATTCTGATTCACAGGCCAAAAGAAGAACCTGTCCTGCTGATCAGAAACTCTGCTCCCTGCAGAAAGAATCCTGGCTACAGGATCGTTGCTGTTTACTGAGTCCAGCCGTTCGCTGTGACAGAAGAGGAAACTACTTAACACCCTCAATCTGCCTCTTGCTGGTAGTGTGACCTCTGTGGGCCTCCATACCTCCTGACCTCTCCCAGCCTCTGTACATTCATCAGTAAAAGGAAGACAATGGCAAAGCACCACACAGCTTGCTTGTAAGGGTAAATGAAACATGGTAAGCAAGCGCCCTGTACACAGGAAGTGCTTAACAAAAATACTTGGTTTATTAATCATCAGAATTTGCCATCACTCTGCTGCTCAACAGCTATATGACTTTAGAAACGTTAACCCGAAACTTTAAGTTCTGCTTCTGTAAAATAATGGGTTAGGGAAGGTACTCTTGAAATTCTCATCCAGCTCTATAAAAATCTACAAGAGGAGGCACATGTAATTATAAGACTGCCCAAGATTATACAATCTGCATCCACAATGGCTTTGTGTTTAAACCTCATTCCTCTGTTGAATCATAATTACCCTAACGCAACAGTACCGCACACTGGGCTGGGTCAGCTCAGGGTGCTGAGCAGCTGAGCGGTACCTTAACTTGTAGGGAATCTGTTTACCTGTTCCTAACCAGGAGCACAAAATGCTCTTCTGCTCATCCACTCACGACCAGGCATTAGACCCAAGTTCATGGTGAATTGAAGCTAAAACCCAGTTTTATCGTGGTGAGCAAGAACTCTTGCACCTCGGGATGCCGGGTGAGTCATTGAAACTTTCCCTTTCAGGAAACAGGAGGAGAGAGCTCAGAGAGAGCTGGAGCCCGGAGCCATGTGGATGGTTGGCATCGGCAGAGGCTCCGTCCCAAGAGCCCCCGTCCCCCCATCACCCCCCACTCCACCGGGTCACCCATCTCTCCCCGGGGGACTTGTCATTCTCCTGGTGTCCTCTATCTCCAGAGTTATCACACAAAGCTAGAAAATCAGGTTTACTGTTGACCAAAACATGAGCCCTGATTTAAACATATTCCAGTGCTACTGAAGAGATGTGACCCCATTTATTATATCCTATAATTGAATTAGAAATAGGCATAGCAAAGCCAGGTTAATCACTTGAGGAATTTAATTCTGCAGCCTCAGAAATCCTTTGTATCTGAACAAAATAATTACAATTGCATAGTTTGAATTTTTTCCTAACTTAAAAAAAAGCCAGTGTCAGAACCTTTTCATTATACCCTGCTTCACCACCTACCCAAAAGCTGCTTTATTCGTGCAATTGGTGTTAAGCCACCAGTGTGGACTCCAATGAACCCACTTCTGATGCTAATGGAAAAATGCAGCCTAAGAGAATTTGTGTCAAGCTCAGAATGTTCACCCTTTAGCACCCTTGTCCGATGGGATACTTGAACCATAACGGACAGGAAATTAAAAACATGAGCTCAGAGGCCAGAATGCGTGGGTCTGAATCCCAGCTTCTAAGAGTTTGGTGATGAGTCCAGCAAGTCAGCTAAACTGGTGGGGCCTCTGGAAACCATCACAAGAGCACCTACTCTTGTTTGTTGTGAAGATTACAAGGGATAATTTTCTCAAAATAGTGCCTGGCACATAGAAGAGGCTCATAAAAATATTGGATATTACTATTACGTACTGGATTTATAGATCCACAGAGATGACACATTCATTCATGAAGTACAGAAGTGCCTCAGTTCACAGACTTAACTCCCTCCATGATTCTGGGGAAGACGGCCAAGGCCATGTTTGTCACCCTATATAGAGCTCGCAAACAGAAGCAAAATTTTGCCCAATATTTCTGTTCACAAACCAAACTGTTCGTGAACAGTAGTATTCATGAATCGAGGTACTACTGTATTTGTTAAAGCCATAGCATGTTCAAGGCATACATGTGAACATAAATAAAGACAGAAGATTCTCTATGACAGCAGAGTCACTCTCCTCTTAGGGAAGATAAACAGGTTACAATTCCCTGGGCAGAGGTGGGTGTGTGTGTGTGTGTGCACACGCACACTGTAGGAGTGTCAGATGAAGACTGGAAGTCTGAGGCCATCCTAGGTATGACTTAGGACAAGGGCACGATTGGCAAGGTGGTCTCTAAATTTCCTAAACCATCTTTATGATGTAATCTCACCACCATTAGGGTTTCAAATACAGTGCGGAGGCAGCACAAATAAAGCTGGCCAAGGGAAGCAAAGGGCCAAGCAGAAGGAAATAGGGTATTGTCACTGTCTTCGCCATCACTGATTGAGGCAGAATTTGTCACAAGACCAAATATGTTAGACATGGTCCCAAAAAAGGGAAAAATTGAAAATGAAGAACTGGATGAGGGACTCAGTGGTACAGAGGAACAAATTACTTTGGGACGTAGAGAGAGATACTTTGTCTAGTCAGAGTGGAAAGAGATAACGTGAATTGAAGGCAGTTCCATGTACTGGTTGTTCTCTATGTACCAAGTACCTTAACAAGCGCTTCAAATGCATTGACTTATTCTGTCTTCACACTACTCAATGATGAAGGTACTGGGGCTCTCATTTGGAGGCTGATTTTTTGAGAGACTAAATCACTCGCCAAAGGTCAGCAAGCTCATAGACAGCAGACCTGGGATTAGGCTCCATCCAGACACTACTCATACAGAACGGGAATTACTGCACTGACATAAAGAATGCAATGGAGTGACAGTGGGGGATGAGTCTGGAATGAAATACTATCATTTTTTAAAAGCAAGAGTAGAATTCTAGGCTGCCCTACAGAACCATGTGAAAAGATGGCCTTCCGATTTGAAGTTTGAATGCAGTTTGAAATAAAGATGTTTCTGAACGTTCCAGGTGTAGACATCCTCGACACATATTCCCTTCGATGACTGGAAGAAGGAGCCTATTTTTTTTTCTACTTTTTAAATGATAGGAAGTTTCAAAAAAGAGAGAAGAAATCAAAACTGAATGCAAATCGCTTCCAGGACGCAGCAATAAAAGAAAGCCTGAGGAGCACAGCAAAATTACGGAGGCCTTCAGAGCACACAAAAGCCACCTTCTTACGAGCAGTCTCACATGGGTGGAGAATATTGTCATTCAGAACCGGAACACTGGCCCTTTTCAAGGCAGCTGTGTGGCGGTGTCAGGGGTACGGGTGGGGACGAAGGATTAATTATGTCGCTGGCTTCTCTCCATCCTGCCAGGCACATGAGCTGCGGAGCAAGAGGAATCGCTTCTGTAAGCATCTCTGACCGTCAAGGGTTTACAAAAAGGTAATGCATGGGATTAAATTGGTAAATCGCATGCCGCTTACATTAAACAGTACCATTTCTAACATACCCACACGTATTTCTCAACTCAAGAAACGTCTTTTTAAAAAGAAGGGGAAAAAATTTAAAGAGACTCCCTGTCTCAGTTTTAAATCACTCGACCTCATTTCAACTTAGCCCTTCAGATCTGAAAAAGTGACTTTTATTTCTGAATTTAGAGACCATAGACAGCATCTTTCTGGGTTAATTTGAACCTGTGACTGCTCTCAGCAAGCTGCTATTATAGAATAGTCAGATTTTTGTTGGATCATAAGAGACAAATACAGAAACAGCTTTAGGTGGTTTAGGGAAAAAAAAAAAACATGGAAAGAACATCTCAGTGGGAACAAAATCCCCATGAACGTTGAAACAGATCCCTTCTCTACTAAGGAGCCTTAAAAATAATCAACATGTTGACAATTTTATTAGGTACATTTCATCTCAATAAACATTAGCTAACCCCCCTGCCCCAACCCCCTCTGCAAGGGTGAGAAGTAGACCCATTTTCTTATTAGGGAAAGCCTGAGTTGGGTGAAAAAATGGGGTAGAAACAGCAGGTTCCCTGGTCTCCTGTCTGGAACTTCCAGTCCAGACCACTCCACCGGCAACCCAGCTGCCTGAGACCACACTGGAGTTTTACAATTTTAAACCAAAAGAAAAATAGCATGTTATAGAAAGTGAGAATGCAAGCCGTAGAAATAAATAAGAACATATACTCCCGAGAAGGCAAGCTACCAAAAAGCTGTTCAGAGGGACAGAAAGAGCTAAAGCGTGGCTAGAAGAACAGAAAATCTTCCTTTCTTAAAGGAAGGTGAAGAGGACAGATGGAGAGGAAGAGTGGATTGGAGTGGGTTGGGACAGAGAAGGGGCCTCAGGAGAACAAGCACCTGGAAAGTAATTTCGAATCCACAAATACACAGAAGTGGGACAGCTTACATTTAACTGAAATGCAGTCAGGATTGCATTAATGTTCCATAGGTGTAATCAATCACAACTGTATAAGCATGGACGAAATAAAGGTTACTTACACGGACCAGAAGAATGTTCCAGCACGAACCCCTTGCTTGGCAGCTGTGATCCACAGCTAATGAGGAAAATATAAGAGGCTTAGAGCATGTTCTGAGTTTTGGTCAAAGAAGAAGAAGCCTTAAAAATATTTTAGTTCTGATATCTTACACTCTGCTCACACCCCGCCATAAGTTTTACATTATTTGCGAGCCCTTTTTTCACATCTGGAGGTCAGAAGAGTTATCTCCATGAGTGTTATTCAATACGTTCTCCGCAAAAGCTCTCAAAACTCTGCTATTCCAATGACACTTTTTTAAACTCTTCTTTCATCTCAAAGTTCTCTTCTCTGCCTGTCTTTTCTGATCACTGTTTTGAACAGTTCACTCATGTGGCAGAACCCCGTTCACCAAAGGGACCAGGAGTGGACCAGATGTTTCCTCATCTATGGAAACCCACGCAGAGGAGCCCAACTGGCCACCCAGATGCCAGAGTGTGACAACCAAGCTGGTCTTGCTCGGCTCTAAACGGCACGAAGAAGCCGATGAAGAAAGGCTAATTTTTAACTGGGATTTTCCCAACATCTTTTACCTAGCCTTTTAGTAAATGGGGTTTTAGGGGAAAGTTCTTAGGATAAGTTAGGTGAACTAAGCATTCCATTAAGGCTTTTTAAACATTCTTTATACTACATGCTGTTGAAGGGAAAAAGATACAAGAATTCAGAACCCAAGCTTTTCATCAGGCAGCCTGGATTTGAAGGTTGTTTCAGTCACTTACCAACCACGTTTTCCTACACCAAGTTACTTAACCTCTCCCTGCCTCAGCTTCCATTGCAATGTAGATATTTTCTAGCACCTGAAATTATTCCGCACTTTAATGAGTTCATACATTCCAAGTCCTTAAACCAGTGCCTTAGCATTTGGCAAACATTTGACCGATTTCAGTCTTTATTATTATGCAATGAAATTAAATGAAATCCAGTTATCCCAGCAACATTAAAAACAGCTTAGGATGGCCAGGGTCCCATGGAACAGAAGTCTGTCCTAGAAAACCTCTCACGTAAGGGAAAAGGGAGGCAAACAAGGGAGGTCAGATTGTTTGTTAGGAGAACAAAGAAAAGCTGACCTAGGAATTGCAGCCCGCTCCTTTTCCAGCTTCATTGCATCAGACTTTAAGAGTACCTTATGACTCCCGTGAAAGCCATTATTTTTGGTGGAAATGCACACCTGAGAGGTGTAGGATATCCAGGAGCAGGCCCATGGTTTCAAAAGGTCTGTGATGCCAGGCATAGAAAGCTTTAAGAAGATCCCAGACCCCCGGGACATCTAGAAATCTTCACCCCCAAAATCACAGCTACTCTAGCTGACAAGTGAGACTCATGTGGAGAGCGGGAGTGGCCTGGAGGACCCCTGGAGCTCTGAGCAGCTTGCAGACCCCAGCCACGAGGGGGCTGAGGTGCTCATCCCCATTACTGCCACTCCTGCTTGGCCAGGCTCTCTGGGAAGATTGAGACACAGGAAGTGCAGATTTCTCTGAGTGCCCTGCCCTCACCGCTGTCCAGAGCACCTTTCCACTTCAAGGGGGAGTGCTGGAATGGCCCAAGCAGGGGTCAAACTGTGTCCTCGGTGGTGGGAATGTAAACTAGCACAACCATAGTGAAACCAATAGGGAGATTCCTAAAACTGGAAATTCCATTTGGCCCAGCTATTCCCCTTCTAGGAATCTTCCCATAAGAGTTTAAGATGTTACACAGCACAACTTACAAGAGCTACACCTTGGGAGCAGCCTCTATGTTCATCAACAAATGAATGGCTGAAGAAAATGTGGTGCAGGATATATATACAATGGAGCACTACTCTGCCATAAAGAATACATTCGGTCATTTGTAGGAAAATAGAGGCTCTTTGAGACCATAATGTTAAGTGAAATAAATCAGACACAAGCTTAAATATTGCAGATTTCTCTTACATGAGAAACCCAAAGTATAAATAAAGAGCAAAACCAAAGGCAGCTGGCAGGAAACAGGGAGACAATCTTTGGCAAAAGGAAGCAGGACCCAGAGATGGAGAAGGGAGAAGGAGGCTAGGGGAAGGGGTGTAAAAAGAATGAAGACGTGTGATGTGCACACATCAACTCCCCATGGGGAATGTAATCGCTGTGTACTGTAAACACGGACTAATACAAATAAAATTTTTAAAAATGTGTCCTTGAGATTCATCCATTCTCGGCCCAGCATCTCCAGCAGCAGGATGAGCCCAAGTTAAGTACTTGTCATCCCGAGGCATCCTCAAAACCCAGCCAATTCCCAGAGAAGCCAGGCTCTTGTATTACAGCAATGAGTTTTACGCTTCCTTTAATTCCCTGGCACAATCCTCGTGTATTCATCCCTAAACAATTTCCCAGGAAATCTGGTGCCTTACTATGTCCAAGGATAGTATACCAGCAAATATTTAAGATTTATGAAATAAAAGAACAATCTGGGGTTTTCTAAAGGAAAAAATCTTTCAGTACAAATCTGTCAAATGAAGTCCCTACACCTTTCAAAATTGCGTTGTAGGAACAGGCTGGTGTTGGCGTTGTCTCAGGGGCCCTCGGGGCAGGAAGGCCACCACAGGGGTCTTTGTGGTGTTCAGACCATGCACACAGATGACACAATGAGTGCGTCAGTGACCCTGATGGCCCGGACCAGGACCGCCACGCCCAGGAAGCAGAGGAAACACAGGACCCCGTGGGCTGAGCGAAGGCGGCTTAGTGACCAAGCCTGGTCGCCAGGGGGCAGTGTCATGAACCTGCCCCTTGGCATCTGTCTCCCCTGCTGCCCGCTCCTGAGGCCCCTGTGTCCCAGCCGTGACCCCAGCCTACCCCCAGTGAGCTCTCAGGCCCCTGACAGACCCACAGAGCTTGCAACACATTATTTCTGCTGGTTAAAACATTCTGATGGCAAAGCTCAGATTTGTTCTTTACGCTTTTCTGTCCTTTGGAAAAAATTTTCCAGGACAATTAACATAATTATAATCAGAAAAAAACTAAAATGTGAATTATGAAGACAACTTACAGATCAAAAGTGTCATGTCTTTCTACTGAAAAAAGAAGCACAAAAATTCTGCCTGCTTCTTTATAAATATCACGTTGACTATATTTTCTGAAAGAAAACTGGGAGCTAGGGCCGGGGATTTAGCTCAGTAGTTCCGCAGCCTGCCTCACAAGCTCAAGGACCTGAGTTTGATCCCCAGTACTAAAAAAAAAAAAAAATTGGGAGCATGGTCAGTAGAGAACAGAAAGTGCACAAATAGCAGCGAACACTTGAAATTAAAAGGACATTTAAAATCTCAATTTACACACAATGGAGTGCTACTCTGCCACAAAGAAGGATATGCTTAAGTCCTCTGTGGGAAAACAGATGCACTTTGAGACCATCACGGGAAGTGAAATAAATCAGACACAAGCGTCACTATCACATGGTTTCTCCTCTATGAGAAACCCAAAGTATAAATAAATTAAAGAGCAAAATATAAGACAGATGTAAGAAATGGAGAGAGAGCTCTAACAAACAGGAAGAGGACCAAGAGATGAAGGGAGAGGAGGGAGAGGCGATGTACAAGACTGAAGACACGATGTGCATGCACCAACTGCCCGAGAAATGGGGTCAGTCTGTACTGCATGCGTGGGCTAACAAAAGTAGATATGCAAAAATCTCCAACTGTACAATCCTAGTACCGATGAAGCTAGTCTGTCGAAGGCTGGTAAATGGCGAAGGACTGAAACAGAAAGGAAGGTCTTCGGCCCTCTCATAAACTGGTATAAAGTCCCTTTGCAGGACACTGTAAGTAACGTATTTCAGGGCTCAGAAGTTAAATGCAGTCATTACCGAGGGAAAACGCACACAGATGTTGGTCCAAAAGAACAGAGTGCTGACAATCCCCAAGACTACAGGAGAAAGAGACAGAGAGAGAAAGAGAGAGAAAGAGAGCCCTCCTGGTGCCTTGGTAACTCAGACAGGCGGGAGTTATGGCCTCTGAATGTGAGCATAAATACAAATTTCCTCAGAGGTTGTTTAAAACACACAGCTAAAAGTAAGTAAATAATGAGCTAAGAAGACCCAGATCCCAGCGCCCTGCCTCTATTTCCTCCGATGCCCTTCTTATTGGGGGCCCAGTTCCAAGGTTTCGCTGTCTGCCCACTGTGCTCAGTTTGGGCTCAAAGTGTCCTGACACTGCCCCGCTGCTCTGTCACTGGGCTAAGTAAGGATTCCCCACAATCACAGCCCGGGCCGCGATCCAACGTTTCCTCCAGCCAGGGGCAGTGTGTAGCCATGGGAAAGGAGAATTTTTGAAAAAGAAAATAAGCAAAATCATATTTTTTAAAAACATGGGCTGGGGGATGAGCTCAGTGGCAGAGTTGAATTCCATCCTCAGCTCCACAAAACACACACACACGCACCTGCACAAGCACAATTAGAGCAGTGTCTTTAGTATCACTGCAAGGAGGTTTTCCTTCATCTTCCATGTCACAGAGCTAGGACAACTGGCATTCTGAGAGCCAGAGGGTGGAGGTGATTATCACTGATCAGAAGAAACTAAGGAGGTGAGGGCCAAGGCAGAGCAAGCGGACTGTGGACCCGGAGGGCCGGGCCAGGAGGAAGCGGTGACCAGGCTGGCGATGTGTGACCGCGTCTCTTCCAACATGGAGCAAACGGAGCCTTATTCCTAAGGCTAGCCAAGCCTGAGGACAGGCAGACAGAGGCCTCCTCAAAAGGAGGGGCAGGGCGGGACAGAACACAGCACACTGCAGGTGCTGGGCTCCCGTCAGTCTTCACAGGGCCCCAACCCAGGGACCTGCAGTCTGAAGCAGGTGGGGCACTGAGATAGCCAAGCCCACAGGAGGTGGGCAAATGCATGATGGGAAAAATAAGAGCGCCAGGAAGGAGGGTCGTTCAGCTGAGCCGGGGCAGGAAAGCACAGGGAAGACCTGGAGACAGAATTCAAGGGGATTTGAAAGATGATTAGGTGGTCGGTGGAAAGGAAGCTAACCAAGCCAGCGTGGACTAACCCGGACAACACAGGGGCCGGGTGCTGCTCGCTGTGCAGTAGCTGCTGAGTATGCACAGGCCCCGGGCTCAAAGACGGCAGCAAAAACCAGAAGAAAAGACAACGCAAAGAGAAGCACTACAGAGAGAACTACTGCAGAGTATGGAGGAGAAACACGGGATAAAGAAAAGGGAAGAGTTCCTGCTCAGAAAGCAAAGCTTCCCTACCCTACCGGGATAATAGAGAACTGGACAGTGACCTAGACTTTCTTCCCTCGGTTTGACGGCGCAGTTAACTCAGGGACGGGGCTGTCCACTGCCTCGCTGGCCCCAACACGGGCAGAAAGCAGGGCCAGGCCGAGCAGACCGGCCGTGCTCAGAAGACGTCGGCTGCTCCTTTATCCCCAGAAACGCAGTTCTCAGAGGACCGGAAGGACGACAGGGTCTGGGACATGTTCCTCAGGCCTCCAAGTCTGCTCCCCCTGGGATTCCCACCCACTCTCCACAGGACTGCGCCGGGCGACCCGAGACAGCACGGGTCTCCGTCTCCCTGCGACGCCTCGGGAGACCAGCGCCCTTAGACCGGGCATGGGAACTGCAGTCGCGCGGCAGCCAATGGTGACTTCTAATCATGCTTTCTGAGGCTGGAAAACTAAAAGCTAAATTTTAAAATGTGCATTTAAAAAAAAAAAAAGATGAAGTTCAGTTATAGAAATTATTTTTGGAACCCTAATGGTGAGGTCAGGTTTTTAGATGGACACTGACTAGATAAGCATCTCTCAAGTCTTACACACAGCTGCCACGTGACTTTAAGTCATGTGATCCAGCTCCTGTATTATTTAGCCAAACATCTTGTGTGGTTTCACCCTTTTCAGTAAAAATAAGTTAAGTCTAATTTAACTAGCAGCCTAAGAGTTTTAGAAATCACTTCTCTTCTCCAATTACTTTTTTCACTGGTGACTGTGTGAAAGGTACAAGACTCCAGAGAGGTTTGTATAAAAGCTCATAATCCTTTCTTAGACAATCAGAGCTTCATATATTCTCACACCCGGACTACAGTCTCTCAGAGTTACCGTCCAAATGCTCCTCCAATAAAGTCCAACAAAATGTGTTTTCAAATAATAGCTATAATGGTCCTTAGAATTTTATCATGCCAGTGGTGCAACCACTATGGAAATCAGCTTGGAGAGTCCTCAGAAAGAGGAAAACTAGAAATTCCATTTGACCTAGCTATTCCCCTTCTAGGTATCTTCCCAGAAGATTAAAGATGTCACATTACAGGGATAGACACACAACCATGTTAACAGCAGCACAATGTATAATAGCTAAATCTTGGAAGCAGTCTGTACATCCTCAGCAGATGAATAAAGAAAATGTGGTGTTTATACACAATGGAGCACTACTCTGCCATGAAGAAGGAAAGATCTGAGTCATCTGTAGGAAAATGGATGCACCTTAAGACCATAATGTGAAGTGAAATGCATCAGACAGAAAAATTTAAGTACCATATGGTTTCTCTTATGTGATAAATCAACACAAATAAAGAGCAAAATGGAAGATAGATCATGGGCAACAGGGAGACAGATCTTTTGCAAAAGGGGAGGGGACCCAGAGTTGGAAGAAGGGGAAAGAGAGGGGAAAGGAGGAAAGGAGATTTTAAAAACAATGAAGATGAGTTATGTTCAGGAACAACCCCTACAATGACTGTAATCATTATGTTCTGTAAACATGGACCAAAAATATTAAAGAACAAAAAGAATTCCTATGGTGCCCGTCTTGTTCAAGGCGACGGATCAGTTTCCCCAGGTCTCGGTCAGCCTCAGGAGGGGCTGCCCTTGGTCACACGGGTCACTCTGGGGAGCCAGGGAGGACGGGGAGCACACAGCTGTAGGGGCCCCTTCCTGGGGGGCTGACGCCGCTCCTCGCTCGGTGTCTGTGGAGGCCACGGAGGTGGATGCTCGTGCATCCACGTGACGCCCACCCGAGTAAACCTAAGGTCACCATCGCGTGGATCCAGTTAGACAAAATGACTATTTTTATGTCCTTTGAGTTCCCTGGAAAATTGGCTTCTGTAGTGAAATTATTACAGAAGACCAGCTAGCAATGACCGGACAGAGCTCTAATTTCTATGATTCTACTGACTCATAAAATATCTATCATACTCTTGTGAAACCCACCCTATGGACAAATGTCCTTGTGATCACAGACTGGGTTGTCCCCGACTCCTGGTAGAGCAGGCAGAAGAATGACAGCAAAATACTGTAGAATATCTGAATGTCTATTATAAAAAAAACAAAACTTCTACAGACATATAAGAAGTCTTTCAATGTTGATAGCTTAAAAAACGAAAAGCCCACATTGAGTCCTGCATAGTGGAGTATTTATTAAGTGATATGTTGACCACAAATGACCTTTTTTCTCAAAAGCACTACCTTAGAAAAGAGTCCTACGTGTGCTTGCCTTCGCCTTCCTGTGAATCACAGCAAGCACTTCCGGGTCAGGGTCACGCGAGCATGAAGGGTCCGCGCGGGGAAAGCAGAGCCTGCACCCCTCGGCCTGCACGCGGCCTCTGCCTCCTCCCTGCTGGCGCTCCAGGGAGCCACCAGCTGGCCCAGTGGGGTCCGTGAGGGACGTCTACTTCCCAAGCAGCCCTGACGGCCTGTGCCCTGGGCCAGGCCCTGCAGGACTCTGGCCCTTCCGGCCAGCAGCTCACACCCTGAAGTCCAGTTGTGCAATTCCACAGCTACGGCTGCTGCTTGGCTCCTACGGCAAGCTGCCAGGTCATGCACATGGTCGCATGGGGCGGGTAGGCCAACGCCACCGACAGCCCTTCTTAGGGTCCATCCAGACATCTGATCACAGGTATGCAGGGCAATTTAATACTTTAACCTCTGTGATTTAAGAAAAAGGATGAAATAAGCCAGCACTTGGGAGGCTGAGGCAGGAGGATAGCCCTGAGTACAAGGTCAGCCTGAACTACATAGCGAGACCCTGTCTCAAAAATAAAAGGCATAAAAAAATGAATGAAATAAAATAATTAAAGAATTCACAAATCTATTGAGGGTTTTAGTGAGTTTCTTTTTTCCAGCATGTTTCCCTGCTTCTATTCATTATGGCAGCATCATTCATTTTTCTTTTTCATTGTATTCCTGAATCTGATAAACCGATGAGATCCATTTACTCCTTCAACCCATAACCCTTTCAACCACTACCAGACATCCTTGTGAATACATCAGTCACTGCACACCTTTATAGAGCTGCACATGCACACAGGTATGCACACAGACACGTGTGTGCAGGTGGGCATACACATGACCCACCCACGCAGTGTAGATCAGCACACACACGTAAAAATAGACAACACACACACATATGATGTACGTACCGCACACACAATATCAAAAGACAGAAACTTCACGTAGGAGGAAGGTGTGTGGGTCCTTTCCTCAGGTAACAGATCTGGGGTGAAGCGTTCACACACACACACACACACACACACGCATGCACACGCACGCACACACGCACAAAGCAAACGGAGACTCACCGGCTGACCTCCCCACCAGCGATGGTTAAATTTCTCCCGCCCTCGAAGGTGGAAGGTAGCATCGAACACAGGGTCGTACATGGAGTTGCCCACAATCCCGTGCGACTCTGGATACAGGCCCTGGTGCGAGAGCCGCGTTAGTGTTAAAACGATAATCCGAGTACACTTGTTCCACTGTAAGTTTTCCTATCACAGAAGTCACAGAAGTATTTTTAATACGGAATATTTTTACACTTCATTGCCACAATCATATGAGATGCATGCAGCCTCCACAATGTGGAAATGTGAAAACACAGCTAATGTTAAACCACTTGAGAAACTTCACATTACTGTGAGAAATTAAATATTTGGTTTTTTAACTGTTGGAACAATGAAAACAACACTTTTATTACTTGAGGGTAAAATTTACACACGTCTCCAAAGAACTTTGGTTTCTAAATACTCTTTTCCTCCTTTTCAAGTTCCAGTTCTTCTCTCCAAACAACAGAAATAGTAGTCATGAAATTAAAAGTAAATTGTGTTTTAAAGAAGAAAATAAGGTACATTTGGAGTATCTGAAAATTAAAACACAGCAACTTTAAAATCAACTTTTTTATTTTGCAAATTTAGAAAATACTCGAGAGGAGCTTCCTGTGTTCAGACAGAGCCGTGCCTGTGCCAAAGAAGCAAGGGCTCACATGGACGGGAGTCGCGAGACCAGGCACTCACGAAGCTAAAACTGGTATAGAAAAGGTGGGAAACAAATTTTCTTTGAATGTGTTTCAAAAATCTCCACTTTAAGGCTGGCGTGGTGATGCACACCTGTAACCCCAGCACTCAAGAGGCTGAGGCAGGAGGATCACTGTGAGGTCAAGGCCAGCTGGGACTGCACAGCGAGACCCTGTCTCAACCCCCCCCACCACCAATCTTCCCTTTAAGTCACCCCAGGATGAAATCAGACCTTTGAGTATAGGTAACTTGGGAAAATACTCACGGTAGCCAACGTGTACAAGTTCGGGAAGGTCTTAGTCGGGTACACGGGCCTCATGTAGGGGGAATGTGTACCGCAGGACCCTGGAAACACAATACCAGCTGTTAGCACAAAGTACCCACGGCGATCACAGACATGGGCTGCAATCATTTTTTTGTATTTCCAATAGCAACATGGACTTGAGCAACGAACGGGCCTGGAGGCCAGGGAGCCCTGGGTGCAGATGAGGGGACTCACGCAGCTTCTCGATGTTGGGCATCACCTTGCTGCCCTTCTTCATGTAGGATGCACGGAACCCATCCACGGAGAAGATGATGAGCGGGGGCCGGGCAAACCTGGAACGGTGACACGTGGTATCTCAGAGACACAGCTGACACCACCTCCAGTACAGCCGCCCTCAGTAACCGAGGCAGACGCCGAGTCTCGGGAGGGGTGTGGGCAGCCACCTAACATCTGGGGTGACATCGGTCCAGACTCAAATGACAAAAGGGAAGGGTTTGACTCTAGATTTCTCTGAACGTACTCCCTCCCCTGCTGCTGCTCGCTTTACACACAAAAATAATACACACTTTTAAAAAGTTATATTTGCCTAGAGTATATATTCTTCCACTTGCCACTTGGAAAAATCCTGTTCATTCTTTAAAACCCAGCTCAAAGTTTCCTCTTTTATTATGTTAGCTGCTTATGCTTCTAACTTCCTTTAAAGTATTAATCCATACACCTCTTTCATCACCCATATGTACATCATTGCCTGTAACATTGTAACGACCTGTTAACCTGCCTCTCCTCCCTGTGAGTTTCAAAGCCATCTGTATTGCATTTGTCTTCCTACTTTGTGGACCCATTGTAAGTCTTCTGTAACTACTTGTCAAATACATGAGTTAATGAATAAATGCACAAATGTAAAATCAGTAGTACTCCTGCCATTAAATCTAAGCACTTATTTTAAAGTTCCTTTAATTTTAATTATAAAATACTTCTAAAAATAATGTGAATTATGAGGCTCTCTAAAGAGTATATCAATAAAGAACTAGACTGTTCATTTATGCAGGCAGGAGCCAATGAAATGACCCTATATTCCAGCATAAAAGTGCAGTTGATCAATCAAACTCGAGCATACTAAAATAAGTGCAGAATTATTTCTAACAGTTTGAAGCTAATTGAGCCAGTGTAAGTTTGTATTTGTTTAAGGGCACATAATAAATACAACCCCTTTTAAATGAGGCACACGGAAAGAGCACTGAACAATATTATACAAGAGCTGACAATTACTGCATCACTTAACAGGGCCTCAACTCTACAGACTACTTTTCCTCAAAAGCCCCACCTTGTAAGAGTCAGGAACTGTTGTCACCCTATTCTTCCAGGCCAGAGAAGTTCAAATGTCTCACGAAGGTTAAAAAGGAAGAAAATAAAAACCTCTAGATGCTGTGCCCCTGCCTGTATTGCCTAAAACAAAAATGTATTTAAAAGACCAAATGCGTTATGGAAACGCGTTTGCTGAACAGGCATTCTGTGCCACGCATGTGAAAGGTCCATGAAGTTTCAGCAGTTTCCTGGAAGGCATCCCGAGTGCCTGTCACGCCCAGGCTGCAGGGTGACCCTGAAGCCTGGTAGTCCCCCAGCGAGGCCCAGGGTTCCTCGGGTTTCCACAGCATCTCCTTGGGTGACAGCGCTGGGTTCCAGCATCTCCCACTTCCTCCCCCAAAAGGCAAAAAAGCAGAACTCCAGGGGAAAACACTGAATCAGGAAAAAATAAAACCTTGCTTGAAATGTTTGCTTCTCCCGTGATATTCAGATACGCTTTGCAAAACCTTCAGCTGAGTGGAACAGAGGGATGGTTCTCCAACCAAAAGGAAAAAACTAATCCGAGTTTATAGATAGCTTTTGGGCAGTGAATTATATATGAGTACTCACAGGTCTGTGTGTGGAAGTGGAGCTCAGCTTCACGTCACCTGTAACCACTCACCCACCCGTTCTCTGCAAGACTCATCAGCTGACAGCTTAGACTTCACAGCGCCCCGAGTCCACTCACCCTGCAGGACACTCGGGGGCCTTGAGCTCCTCGCAGTCATCATCCACCCAGTGAGATTCTCCTGCAGGCAAAGTGACTACAGTTACCGTGGGGTCCACCTGGAAATGCCATCCAGGGCCTGGATGCAAACCATCCCAGGACTGGGGTCCTCTTGGATACTTGCTTACGGGATAGCAACTAAAACAATTCTGAAATTAAGTCTGGCGTCTGGTTTGGCTTCTAAAGTACACCCATACATGGTGGGAAAGCTAAGATTTAATAACCTCAAGTGGTGTTTACTTGAGCCTTCAGAGCCTAGATGGTTGGTAGATTTAAAAAACCAGTGGCGTCAGTGAACAAAATTTCATGTTTGTATCCCTCCAGAAATAAACTGTTTGGTCATTAGATGGAACATTCTTTTCTCTACCACCAAAGATCTCAAAGCTGTAGAACACATAACACAACTTCCCTGTAGGGAAGGGGAAGGCTCAGAGCAGAGAGGGACCGGTGACAATGACAGTGGGAGATGATTGCCAATGGATCTGTGTACAGCCTTGAATTTAGGAATGAAGACCAAGGTGACCTTTCATTCTAACCCTATTCCAAGACCTGAGAACCTAAAACCCTTCTTCCCTGAGTTAGCCCTATCAAGAGCAGAGAATAGGAAAGCTGGAAGCTTCAAGGAGCAGAGTCTAGTGGAAGGGACTGAGTCACCCTCAGGAGAGGTGAATGCAGGTCCCACAGGACCGCCTCAGCTCCCACAAGAGTGGGTTGCAAGGGGGGAGCCTGGCAGTGCATCTTCTACACAAGTTCCCACCAATGTGACACAACCCTGCACCATGTGACGCAGCTAGAAACCCCTCACCAGAAAATGAACAGAAGAGGCTGCCCCATCTTGTACTTTCAGCCTCCAAAGCTATGAGCTAAAAAAAAAAAAGGCCCTCTTTCCGGTACAAAACACCCAGCCTCAGACATTTTGCTATAGCAACACAAAACATACTGAGACAGCTTTCTTTAGAGAAAAAGACAACTATCCAGACAATTAGCCTGAATTGTTCCAAGGCAAATGAAGATGACATGTGTTGAACAAAAGTTAAATGTGTGGCCCATACTTTGGAGAAACTTCTCTCACATGAAAACCACTAGAAATCCCTCCTGGTCACTGAGGATGGAAAAAGTGGAGAACAACTGGGAAGTGCTAGGCTCCTTAAAGTTCTGCCAAATGTGTAGCAACCCAGGGAGCCCACGTGGGCCTCACCAAAGTACTGGAATTCGAATATTAAGCCAGTAAAACCTGCTTTAATATTTAATGATTCAATGACCAATGATAACCAAAGGCTTTGCTCCTTCACATTTTTTCTTCTCATAGTCTTTGTGGCTTAGTGGTACAATTAGAGAAATTGAAAAAGAAAAGAAAAGAAATTCTTAATCAATTTCATGCTTTAAAATAAAAGCAGAATTGTTAGAGTGGAGGAAATCACAACACAGTAACTGTTCAGGTAGGGAATCCTCCAAGTGTGGCAATACTCTTCTGGCGTAGCCCAATGGCTCAAGTATTTCAGAACTGATTTACTTTTCTCCTGAAACCTTTTGAACAGGAACTGTGATGCATTCCATAGAAGAGAAAGGAAAAAAATCAATTTAGAAACTAAAAGTGACCCACAAGCTGTAGCTAAAGATCCTTGGGGCTACCCAGACTAACATCTATAAGTGGTTGGCATGGGGCCTTGGACTCCTTAAAGACAGGAAGTGCATCTTTTATCCTTGTGCAGACCACTGATTATTAATTGTTACAATAAAGCAGGTAGTGTGCCATCAACCATACAGAGTCAACACCCACGCACGAACAACTTTGGGTACAACAGGAGCTGCTGGTGCCCTCATGATCTAAGCCGGTGAGTGCCCGTGGCAGCCCGCACCTCTGGACACTGCTCCCGTCCACTGGCAGGAAAATTCATGCCCTTTCCCCAAAAGGAACAATGCTGAGATTTACTCTGCAGGCCACCATAGAGCAGGCCACGGCGAACCCAGCCCTCAGATCACTTCCTTCCTTAATGCCCCTGCCCCAACCCTGTCCTGCCTCCCTGGCACCCCCTCAGTATTCCTGTCTCAAGTCCCACTTCTAGGAAACCTGACCGAAAACCAAGACAAAGTGCAGAAGTCTTTTCCTTACTGTGGTTCCACCTAAGTAGGAAACTTGGCTTCATTTCCTGGTTATTTCAGATCAATGGAAAGGAAAGACAGCAAAAAGAAGCATGAGAAATTAAAAAGCACAACTCCCTTCCTCCTCCCAAACCCACACACAAGGTATTAGAAAGTCACACCCAGGATGCTGCGGGACATCTCTGGTTTTCTGGCCTTTGCCTCTCGAGCCAGGCCCAGCCCTACCTTTGCAGACCACTTGGTAGTTGGTGCAGCAGTCTCCCCGGGCCAGGCAGTCCTCTGAGCAGTGGCACGCGTGCTCCTCGTCCCGGGCTTCTCCGCATCTGTCCTTGGTGCACTCCCAGCCGCGAGCTGAAATTGCCATGACAGCACGCTGTCCCGCTCATAGCCCCAGGCAGGAGGCCATGCCAGCGCCCCCGACTTCCCAACAGAGAGCCAAAAGCGCGTGGAATCCGAGGCAGCCCACGCCCGCGAAGCCATCTGCAGAACTTACATTCAGGGTGTGTTTCTGATTTTTTTAAATTAGAGGACGAACTCAAAGCCCCACTGAGCTCTTTTGGAAAACTGGAACTGGAAAAGGTAGAACAGTATCCCTACCACACCCCGCGTTCTGATGCCCTCAGGACAATGTACTGCGGAGAGCTTGGGATGGAGGTGTCTGTCATTTAGGGACAGTCCCTGGAGTTCGCGTGTTTGTTTTGGGGAGTAGATTAACTTAACTTTGATCAGCTTGATTTAAAGGATGAGAGATAGCAGCCTCTACCCACTGTAGGGTCTCCTGAGGTCAAATCCCTAAACGGGTCTGAAGATGGCAAAGGGGCACTGCAGCACTCACAACCCTAACCACTGAGCTGCATGAAGCCCTCTCCACCACCGAGGATGCCTGAGCCCCTGCAGGCTACAGATCCTGGCCCGCACACACTTGATTGGAAGCTCACAGTTCAACCGTCCAAGAAAAAACACCCAGAGAGGGGACTTTTGGATTTAATGAGAATGCTGTTTTCTGTTTGTTTGCCTTTTTCTTTGGCTAGAAGCACTGAGGCACGGAAGCCCACACCCCTTTGCACTGCTGTGTGTCCAGGCTCAGCGTGCCGTGCCAGCGCCTGACTGTTTAGGAAATGGCCCAGAAATGAGCACAGTGGCCACGGCTTCGCTGCAGCTGCTGGCTGGAGAACGCTCACGGCTCCCTCTTGCATCAGAAGTCTGTGTCCTACGTCTTCCGTGGGAACAGTGAAGGTCCTGGGACCGAGTCCCTGTATCACAAGTGCACAGTGCAAATAGAAAAGACAGTCTGCACCAGGGAGACTGATCAATAGGATGGCATCAGCCTGTGCTAGCACTGCAAAGGATGTCACACAAGAGTGCCTGGCGGACTGGGGGGGCTACGCAGGTAGGACGGCGAGGAAAAGCATCCTCGGGCTGGCCATGGTGGTGCATGCCTGACATCCCAGCACTCAGGAGGCTGAGGCAGGAGGGTGGCCATGAGTTAGTTCAAGGCCAGCCTGGGCTACATAGCAAGACCCCGTCTAAAATAAACAAACAAACAAATGAAAGCATCTTTGGACTAAAGTAGAAAGCACTGGTTTCTGAAAGCAATATGTTCCTATTGCTAAGTGAATAATGGATAAAGAAAAATTAGTTTCTGTGTCCATAGCCTGCCCCTGCCCCTTCGGGCCGATTATCAGTCAGAAAACCATGCAACCACACTTTAATGTCTATTCTTTAAGAACTACCTTTGCAACCTCATTTTATTTTCTGATTCTTAACTATCGTCTGTTTCTCCATGTATCTTCCCAAGCAGACCAAGGGGCTGGAATCCCAATGGTCAACAGGGCTCCAAGGTTGCTTTGGCTGACAGAAACTGTGGGTCTTCTCCCCCTCAACTCAGAGGTGGGTCCACTCATCAGCACACTTTTATTCCTCCCGTCATTTCACAAGAAAACCACTTTCCTTATGAAAAAAAAAAAAAAACACATTGTTGTTCATGTGCTATGTTATTGAGGAGCTGCTAACTGGGTGTAAAAATAGAATAAAATGGAAAGTTAGGATTCAAAGTGAACTACAGGCAAAATAGGAGGCAGCTGTGGCATTTTCAAATTAAATATTTGAAGTAAAATTAAAATATGTAACCTTACTGGAAAATAAGATTACCTATCAGTTCGGACAAAAATATCTTTAAAGATGAGAGGATTTGGGTTGGGATACAGTTCAGTGGCAGGCTGGTTGCCTAACATGCAGAAGTCCCTGAGTTTCATCCCTGGGAGAGGGAGGGAGGGAGGGAGAGAGAGAGAGAGAGAGAGAGAATATGAATATCCGATGGTGAAAAGGAGTAGTGAAATGCTCTTGTGCCCTTTGATAGAAATGTAAGCATTCAGAAGTACATCTTTATAATATACACTTAATTTTTTTTAAATAGATTGCACTTTGATCCAGAAATCCCACTGCTAGGACTTTATCTTAAGGAAAATAAACAAATGTATGAATGTACATGAGTAGTACTTCTTGAAACATTCACAGTAATAAAACTTGGGGAGATATAACGTCAATTAATTATTCAATGTACTTCAGCTATCAATGCGATAGTAGGTAGCCATTCCAAAAAGAACGATCTGAGGCTGAAGCAGGAGGACCGCCAGTCCAAGGACATCTTGGGAAACTTAGCAAGACCCAGTCTCAAAATAAAATAATGAAAAGCTGGGGTGTAGCTCAGTGGTGGAACGCTTGCCTAGCACAAGTGAGAGCTTGAGTTTATTCTCCGGTACTGAAAACAAACATCATGATGTGTGCCATGCTTATAAAGGTTTACAGATGTAGAAACTCACACACATGCGCATATACACACACTTGTGTAAATACACATGCGCGCAGGAGCAGCACACACCGGGAAACAGACAGCAGGCTTTGTTTATGCTGAAACACTGTTTCTAGAGAGTACTTGGGTCAGATTAGTCTAGCCTCAGATGCCACCTTCAGCTTCTTACTCTTGCTTACTATTATCTTTCAGCGTATGGTGCCTTTGTACACAGGAGAACGCACTACTTTATAAAATGTCGGTACTGCCCCATCTTTATTAAACCAAGAAAGAAAAGAATGAGCTCCATCCAGAGAGAGCTAAGTGGAGTCAGAGCATCTGTTAATCTACGCAAGGAACTGGAGACCAGGACTTCACAGGCTGGCATTCAGGGCAAGGACAAGAGACTTGGGGTGGGCAGGGAGCATGAAACACCCTCGTATGCTCAGTGCCAAGCAGACACAGGCTGCTGGTTTGTAGTAACGTTATAGCTGCAAAACATTAGTCTTTCAGCCAAAGCCTCCACTGGAACATCTGTTTACGGGAGGGGCACACCCACAGCCAAGGAACTGGGAGAAGTTCTGAAGAACAGTGACAGCGACAACAGCAGAAAGCAGCTAAAGCCTTTGGAAAATGGATTATGCAGAAAACAGCCTAATTAAGCTCTCCTTATTTAGCAGGAGGTGGAGGAAACAAATGAGGATGAGTAAGGGAGTCGATGTCCATTTTCACATGTCAAAAGCAATGGTCTCAATAAAAAAGAATAATGTCTCTGTTTCTAATTATATCATTAAAAAGATCAGACTAGTAATAGCAATGGTAATATGAGTTAGGCTCTGAAAAGAATCATTGCCACATAAGGTAAGGAATAACTTGTCAAGAGAGCTATGCAGCCCACTTCCTATAGTGTTACAGAGAGGACTGAGTATTGTCTTTCTGCGACAGTTTGCAAGGGGCTTTGCCCAGAAGTTCAGGGGTGCCCTTTGTGGCCCCTCCGAAGTCTTATGTGAAATGTTTGGCTTTGAAAACAACAACAGCATGGTGAAAGGGGCTCTTTCTCAAATCCTATGCATCTGTTCCAAAGCCTGGTTTTAATAACAACTGCTTTCCTGGAGAATACGTGTAAAGAAAGTAAGGAAAACCTCAGAGGAAGAGTTCAGAGCTCCCCAGAGCAGAAGACACCAAATAAAATCCCATACAATCTTCCACTTGCATCACGGAAGACGAGAGTTGGTGCAGAAAATGAGACGACGCAAATGCCAGACACTGGGCCGGCGAGCCAGAGACATCTGCAAATGGGAGGGAACCAAGGGATGAAGAGAGGCGACAGGAAGAGAATGAAGGTGGGTGTGCCCGTGTGCCAGCTCCCTCGGATGAGTGGAATCATTATGTACTGCAAAGTGCACTAATAAGAGTATCATTTTATATTATAAAATAAAACCCAGCACAATTAGCCCTCTTCCCCTAGCAGTGAATGTGGGAGGTGGCAAAAAGAGACAGAAATGGTGAAAAGGAGCAAAACCCCAGCACTGACGTGCATGGAGCCAGCATGGAGCGGCTGCAGACAGAGTGGTCAGGTCGAGGGCGGAAGGACCTACGCACACAGGGTGAGCTCGCCGTGCAGTCAACAGTTTTGCAAGGAACAAATCCCAGGTGCACATCTGGAGCAGCCAAGCAGGGGGCAGTTCCACGGGTCTCCAGGCCACCCGCCCCTGGAGGCTGCAGAGCACCCAGGTACCTACCCGTCTTCAAGCAGAGCTCATCGAAGTCCTGGCAGCAGCTGCTGTAGCTCTTACACAGGTTGTCACAGCGACAGTCTGGGGGCCCGACCTCTTCAAGTTCAAAGCATCTGCCCTTGCAAGACCCAGAGACGTTGGTCCAGGGCGAGTCTGATAAGACTGCAAGAACAAAGGGCAGAGGCGATGCTTGGAGTGCATCAGGTCACTGAGGAGAGGCCTGCAGGCCCGGGCTGCACTCAGCCAGGCTCTGTCACCTGCTTCCCCTGCGATCTGGGAAGGGGGCTGAACTCGCTTGTGCCACAGTTTCCTCATCTGCAAAGTGGGGGATGCATAAAAGCAACGCTAGGGGCCAGGCCTGTGGCAGCACACACCTGTAATCACAGCACTCAGGAGACGGAGGCAGGATCGCTCCTAGCCGGAGGCCAGCCTGGGCTATACAGTGAGTTCAAGGCCAGCCTGGACTAGATAGAAAGACCCTGTCTCAAAGACAAGAAAATAAAATAGAAATGAAGGTAACTCCAGGTTCAAATGAGAATTTAACAAAACGACCCATTTAAAAATACCTCACAGGGTGTCAAACATCTATAGAAAGAGTAACAAATTCTATCTGTCCCATTGCTATTTATTATTATTATTATTATTATTATTATTATTATTATCATTATTATTACGGCAAACCTGTGAGGATGACAGTGCCTGTGGAAATAAGAGCTCATTTCTCCATTTAAAAATCTCTAGCCCTTTATAAGGAAAATCGAGCCGAAGTGCTATGAAGATAGTATGAACACTTGTGATCGGAATAGAAGACTTAACACCTCTGAAACCACGAAACCTCCACCACAGCTAGTGATGGACAAAAACAAACCCTCTCTATCCTCATTTTCATGTTCTATAATTGTTGATCTAGAAATCTCAAGAATCAATCAAATTTTGAAAAGGAAAGAATTCAGTGAATTCAATTCCATTAATTTGGAACATACAGGCAATATAACTTTTAAAATTAAATGAAAGTTTCATTCATAACAGTACCTAAAAGATAAAGTAATTGGGCATAAATTTAATAATATATTGTAAACCCTGCAAGAAAAGAGTATTAAAACTCTACCAAAAGGCATTTCAAAAGATCTACTTAATTTTGAAAGACATAGCATGTTAAGTACTGTATATCTTAATAAATTTGAAATATATTAATTTGTCCTAGATATAACTAACGACACAAGGCAATCACAATAAAAACATCTAGAGTCCTTGAAATTTGAGAGAATATAAAAAGTATATTGAAAAATAAATAAATGATAATAAAAAATACTAAAGAGGAAAAGTAATTTGGTAACTGGACAGGAAGTAGAATCTGAAGTTAAATAATAAAAATAGCTTGGTACTAGAACAGTCATACCTGCTTCTAAGAATGCAAATTTTAAGATTAAATACAGTACAATTTAGCAATATCTATCAACATTGTTAAATGCCTTTCATCTTTCTCCCAGAAATTCCATTACTAGGAATTTGTCTTTCATATATATCTGCAAAAGTTCACCAAGATATGTGTACCCAAAATATTCACTATTCATTGTGTTATGTTTGTAATGCAGGAGAGAAAGCACCTGAAGTCAGCTAAAGGTGTTCCAGTCTGAAAGAGAGAGAGAGAGGGAGAGAGAGAGAGAGAGGAAGGGAAACTCTATATGCAGATGTGGAACATTGCTCATTGCTTTAAAAGAATGAGCTGAATCCAGATAGGTTAATGTCAAAAAATCTTCAAAACACATAAACAATTTTTATTAAGAACAAAGAACATAACAGTTTTATGGTGTTAAATATTATATATTAGATTTTATGTTTATAAAGAAATATAATTTTTATTAAGAACGAAGTACATAACAGTGTTACAGTGTTAAATATAGATCAGATTTTGTGTTTAGAAAGAGATCAATGAGACTAAAGTCAGAAATAAAACGGAGCTGGAGCTGGCGAGGGAGTGAAGTGCAGCGGAGGACTGGGAAGGCAGGCAGTGAGCATAACTTTTGGGGAGTGCAGGTGTGAAGAAGCATTTTCCTCCTTCAGAAACCGTTCACTAGAGGTACACCAGAAGGAAATGACTAGAAGAGGATGCAAGAGACTCTTCATCTTTCTGTAGCTAGAAGTTTCTAACATTCTGAAAACTCACAGGGAGTGGGGGGTCTGGTCTTTTTGTTAGCTTGCTGATTTCCTCGCATGTATGTGTGTGTATAGAACATGTCACAGAATGCACACTGGATGCATATATCATAATACATGTTACGTAGGACGTACTGCTCGTAATTTTATTCCATACTTATGAATCATTTCCTTCTTTATAGCTCGCATGCATTACTTTCTAAATGGAGAAGAAACAAGAAGCCGGAGGAGGACAATGCCAGTGACACCCGGGCCACCCATGCCATTTACCCGAGCCTCCTGCACAGCCCCAGCCCCAGCCTCTCACCAGCGTCACCAACGTCAGCCCGATGGCCTCCGATCCACAGAACCAAAGCAAACAGACCCAGTGGACCGTGAGTGTGAGGCGCTCACACACGGCTCCTCCTGGGACGCTGGACACACACAGCCCACACCAGCTCACGGAGAGGAGACAGTGTCGGCCCCAGCGCATGATCCACATTTCCCTTCTGACTCTGGCCAGCCTATCCACAGAATCCTAAGGAACCACAGCAGGGACAAGGGGAGAAAACGGAAAAGCAGAGAAGCTCCACGAGTAAAACTAAAGCAAGGAGAAACTTGTAATTGAATGTCCCTCTTTTCATGGTGGTACCTGGATTCGTCCCAACAGCCACCTGGGAAATTCTGAGTCGTATTCCCTCTCATGAGCTCCATACACAAAGAATCGGTGAGTGTGGGGTACTGCACACCTGTAACCCCAGGACTCTGGGAGGCTGAGACAGGAGGATGGCAAGTTCCAGCCCAGCCTAGGCAACTTAATGATAGATATAGTAAGACCTTGTCTCAAAACAAAAATAAGAAATAAAAAAGGGCCAAGAATGTAACTCAGTACAGGGGCCTTGGATTCAATCCCCCATGCCCTGAATAACAATGATGACCATCACAGTCAGCTAGAAGCTGAGATGAGCAGCGCCCGAAGGCACTCTGTTCACACAGCTCACGTGTTGTCTTGCCCTCTTCACGTGGACCCAGCAAGCACAGAGCATTTTCCTGAGTCTGTGTCCTTTGCCTCCCCTCATACACAATCCCTTCCTTATCTCTTTCTGTACTTTTGAAGGATCTGAATGAATTCTAAGCCGTGGCACGATCTTTCTTCATTCTATCACCGTGACTTTCACTACTATCTTGTGTTACTCATTGCCGGTTTGTCCCTTGCTTTGTTTGTGAAAATAACTGAGTTGCACTTGATTGTTTGCCCTTTTTGGTCACAGCCTCCCTTGCCAAGCTTTAGAGAGCTTCGAGAGAGCTGCGTTTGCACTCACAATGCACTCGCAGATCATGAGGCCAACTGTACCCACGGCTGGGTTACCAACAGCTCCCATGAGGAGTGGGTTCCCGGGCCTGCGTGGAGGGGGACATCCGTGAGTTCCAAAATTCATCAGGAAGAAAAACGGGGAGACACTGTGAGCACACAAGATCTCTTCTAATCCAATCACCCCGAGAAACCCAGCTGCCACCCTCTAATCACAGAGCGGTGGGCCAGGATCTCTGCTCTGCCTTCCCGGGGCCTCTTCCAGCCCGGCCGCCTGCTCCCGGGGCGCCTCGGGCCCTGTCCATCTCCTCGGAGCCTAGGACTGGCCTCCACCTTCTGGCTTCTTTGCTCCTTGCCCAGGGCAATACCCTTCTCTCTGCAGCCAGCCTGAGGACAGGTTTTTAGGACCTCTTTTTACTGTGCCTGATCCGATGTCAAATCCAGAAAGATTCCTTGGTTATGCACCTGAATGTGAAACCCTAAACGGTCCTTTACTTGACCTACATCAAGAGAACTTTGACACCAGTGCTCGGCTTCTCCAACCCACTGAGAGGCCTATGAATGCGCAAGGATGGATGAACCTGTGGCATCCGAAGATTATCATCATGGCTGAGATCGCCAGGTGCTCAGGACTAAGAAGGAAGACAAAAACTAAAAAGCAAGAAAACAAATCAAAAGTACTCAAAAATATCAAAGGGAGACTATGATGGGTCAAAAGAAGGGGATAAGAAGGCCGGAGGTGGGGATAGAGGGAAATGGATATGATCAGATTGCATTATATACATTGGAACTCCCCAAAATGTAGAAGGGTGCATAGGGGAAGTGGGAGATAGTTAAGTATGTTATGTGCCTGTACAAATCCGCCCGCCAGTCATATACTAAAAATAAATAAATTTTAAGAAAGTACTAAGAAGCATTGAGGCAGAAATATGTAATGAGCATGGCAGAGGCTCAGATCTCCTTGGGAGGCATTTTGCCAATACTTCTATGAGACTCAAATTTTGACAAACTCAGATAATGCTGTTCCACTTCAAAGATAAAGCCAGTTCTAGAATCTTGCAAAATCAATGTCTTTATAAATAGGTGTACTTTTTTGAGAAGGAACTTTGAGTTTTAAGATGTATGTACAATATGATATTCACAACTACAGTATGTATTGCTTATCTCTCCCAGAAGCAGAATTCCATAACTTCAAGAAACATGAATGAATATTACGATTTCTTCCACTCGCATTTGTAATACAGACGGGAACAGGTGGAATTATTTTAACTTAGTTGAGGAAGCCCCTTTTTCTAGAATGTTCCATTTCACACATCCAGAGGTAGGGTCCTAAAATTCTGGCGTCCTTCATGCCGTGGAGATACAGGAAAACTGTGATGATTTAATGACACTACTTGGAAGAGTCTAATGGTGCCAGGAGTTGGGGCCCAAACAACTTCATCCTGGGCTTCCAGTCAAGTCTCCCCCCTCAATCCTCCTGCAGAATGGAAATTTTCCAAGCTGGACGATAGCCAGGAAGGAAGACAGTATTTAAATCTGAACACAGCCTAAGGCTGGAAGGGTTTTTCTTTAGATTTCTCCTCACAGGCCACTCCTGTTTCCAGGGTTTGGACACTGCTTCTATCTGCCCCCATTTTCTCCTTGGTTCTGAACCCAGGTGTTTCCTGAACTGGAGGGGAGAGCCTGGAAATGTCTGCAGCCCACGGTTGTGCATCGCCTCTTCTCAGGAGCATTTAAACAGACCGGGATTCCCCCATCTGCTGCCCTGTGTGAAGTGTGAGCCACAGGGGAAGCCTGAGGATACCACTAGCTCTAGAATTTAACATTGTCTTCCATCCCTTCTGGAGTAGACGTGGCGCTCTTTTTCAGTCATATTTTCTTGTATTAAAGTTGCCATTTTTTCTCAATGCTTCTAACCCTCTCCCTTAGCAAGCAGCGATCACACACAGCCCGCAGTGTCGCTCTTCCTAAATTGTCAGGGTTTACATGTAGCACTCCGCCAAATCACAGCTCCTCGGGCAATCACAGGCGGGGCTTGTGGAAGGGGACTGGATTGTGGAGGAATGACATGACAGCCAACTTGCTTGCTGGGGTCTGGGCAGAAGAGGAAGGCCACTGGGGGCCTGACTTGGAAGGGTTAACTCACTTCCTGCCTCCTTCCTCCTCTCTGCTTCCTGTCCACCACGCCCTGAGCAGCTCTCCTCCACCAGGCCCTTCCACCACGAGTTCCTGCCTTGGAGCCAGCTGACTGTGGACTGAAACCTTTACAAACCGTGAGCCAAAATAAAGCTCTTTTCCCTTAAGTTGCCAGTGTTGGGCATTTTGTCTCAGTGATGAAGAAAGTGGCATAAGTACATCACCTTCTAGAAACACACACTGCTCTTTCGTCCACTCCACGGCTGCTGGACCAGATGTCACAGGCCTTGTTTTTAATATCAATAGGTCTGCCTGGGAAGTTTTCAAACACCTGAACTTTCAAAGCACATATCAACACAATGTCCTCATGTAGAAAGACCTCAGAAAGGCAAGAAAATAGATTTCTATGTGATTTAAAGTAAAAGCTAAAAGCTTTAGTTCAATGTCTAAACCACTCAAATAGCACTGAACAGTAGTCAGCAGTATAAATCTTAATGATCAGCAAATGATCCGCACATCTGCCAGAAAACAAAAAACACTGTCACTTTAAATCACAAGTGTTGTTCATCAATAGGGATAAATGTACACACTGGCATTATAATGGAAGATAAACCCAATGTACACCTTGTACACCTTGTCTCATGGACCATAATACCACATTTTCTTCTCAAAAACTTTTTCAGATAAATAGAGGCCACATCATCCCTGTTTTCCTGGTTGGAAAGTCAGTTCTATGGCTCTCATTTGAGCTAGCGAAAGCTTGGCTAAAATTTTAGATCATCTCAGTACAACTACAGCACTTTTCTCATTAACCAAGGACTTTTCACATTTTGTACATAGGTTCCAAATTTTAGAAGCTTTTCCCAACATGACTTTGGAAGTTTGATTGATGTTTGTTGATATGAAACATCCCTGTTGAGCTCCACAGGACACTGAGATTTCTGGGTGTATAAACTGATAGAGTTCTCTGTACTGCAAAGGAACTACAAAAACCTCTACACCAAAGCTCCATTTAACAGAGAATTGAAGAATTTATGCCCTCCTTAGATTCTAACTCAGATAGTTTCATTCTACTGACTTCAATCCTCCAATTTCTACTGTAGATGTAGCATAAAGTCACATTCCTGAGGTCATTTTCCTGGGGGGGGGGCTGTGACTGACACAGCTGTTGGCTTTATGGTTTCCTACATTCTATAAACCACCATTGAAATAGCTTCCTACTAGACAGTGAGATTCCTCAAAATATCACAGGAGCCAAAACCTTCTCGTTCCTGATACCATTTTCTGCTTTACTCATAAAATTGCTGGTGACATTTTTCCTCTCATCTCTACAAACAAATTTATCTCACACACTTTCAAGCTGCTAAAAGCGATGCTAAGGTGAACTGTGCTTCCAATTTCCTGCTAGCCACAAGAACCTGGCTCAGGAGCTCACAAATTTCCCTGTGTCTTTTAAATATTACATTGCTTACATTTCAAAGAAGGTATTCCATTTCCACCTGGGGGCTGCAAGAATATCTAAGGCAGAAGCTTCCATAACCCAGATTCTCCATAGCTCCACAAAGGCACACATACATATACGTGCACATGTATTGTGCCCGCCATGCATGAATCCCATTATGCACATAAACCCTCAAGGCAAGCCTAGTGGGCCCCACAGATGTTCGGGACTAAGCCATCCTTCCCCACTTTGACTGTTACTTAGGTTTTCTTTGAGAATTGACTGCTTTCATCACATTTACCTAAATGTCCATTATTTGTACCCCCAAAGAGCACATAATTCCCTCTGCTTGTGTCATTCCTCCTGAGAAATCCATAGGATTTTTTCTAATGAACTGGTAGAAGAAATCCTATTCCATTACTACCACCAATAAATCACTAGGTCTAACAATGAGTCCAGCCACCAGAGTGCTAGTTAATTAATTATGAGTTTGTTTGCACTGCCGCAGCCTTGACACCCACGTGTGGGTCCAGAGTACAGCAGGAAGAGCAGGCCTGCACACAGACGTGCCCACCACTGTGGGAACCCCTGAGTTACAGCTCCGGGGCAAGAGGCCACATGCTTTGGAAGGGTGCACCGTGCTCTGGCCCGCCTGAAGCTGGCCTCATGCACTGAGTGGCACAAGATTTCTTTAAAACTCAAAAGAGCTGTTGAAAACAAGCATGTGCTTCTCCTCCCAGTGCCTTATTCTCATACATACATAAAAGCTCACCCAGTGCCCGCACAGGGAGGATTTGCCAACAGAGCAACAATCACACGTAGTGTTTGAAAGGTATTTTTTCCAGCCATGTGTAGCATCTAAAAAGTCATAGAAACTCTGTTCCCTATACTTTCTCCAAGTTTCCAAAGGATGTATGTGGCCTTTTCTCAGGAGAAATCAACTACAGTATCTAAACAGCAGGTGAGTGACATCAAAAGAAAAATTTAAAATAAAAAGTGTGCAGATGTAACCAAAGCCCTGCACATCAGACTTGAACTATACCATACCCGAGACCAAGCTTCCTGAAGGTAGATGTTTAAAAGACTGTTGTAGATGACATCCTAAAAGCATAAAATAGTAATTAAACAATACAAGGAGCAAATGCCTGTATTAAAGACTGTCTAATTTACAGATTATAAAGTAGACTCTGCCACTATTCCAGATGTGACATTTGTTCACCAGTTCTTCCAGCCACCTCTAATAACATGTGGAAGTCATTTGTTATATACATCTTCTTAAAGATTAGTCAATTCAATCTCTACTTCTCCGGTTTCTCCATAGAGAACACACAAACTAAAAAGGCAGTGCAGCAGAATGGAAAGAATTGGGAACTCTATTTCTTATCCAGAAGGAAAGTTAGAAAAGATCCATCATATACCTCAGAGTGACGAGAGATTTTCCCAAGACCACAGACCAGGGCATCCAGGCTAAGCCTTTCCTGACTCTTTCCGGTAAAGAACTAATTTTGAAAACAATGGGTGACTTGACCTTATGCACACATCAAGAAAACAGCATTTAAACTGGGCACAGGGGCACACACCTGTAGTCCCAGCTACTTGGGAGGCTGAGGCAGGAGGATGGAAAGTTCAAGGCCAGCCTGGGCAACTTACTGAAAACCCTGTCTCAAAATTTAAAAAGGGGTTGGGAATTCAGCTTAATACAGAGGCCCTGAGTTCAATCTCCAGTATCACAAGAAGAAAAAACAAAAGGAAAGAAAATGGCATGTAATTCCTTCAATATCACTTTCAGCCAAAGTAATCTACAAAGATGAAACAGCAAGAGAAAGTTCCTTGTGGGATATCTTGGGGAGAATCTGCAGTTGGGGTCAAGTGGCTGCCTGGTCCCCTGTCTGTCAGCCCCAGTGGCATCAGCAGGAGTGAGAAAGAGGCCTTTGAAGAGAGCATTTGCTACCAATAAAAACAGCATTCTCCTCCAGCCCGGGGACATCCACACACAACCCAGGACAGCCCATTTCGCCCATTTGGCTCCTGGGGCCACAGTTTTATGATCTCTTTTTTCACTGTTCACCCAAATCAATTCACTCACCCGCTACTCTTTTTCTTTAGACCTCCTGGGCACGATTCAAAGGTAACTCACTCGGTGTGAGGAAGATTTCCTCTTCCAGCGATGCATGGACCCTAACCAGGATGTTAATAAAAGTCCATGCTGGCTAAGGAAAGACAGGTGACCATCCTTCACAGAAGTCGGATCACGAAATTCGGAGGAAGGCAAAACGCAAAGGAAGGCAGACGCCCCGGATGATAGGGAAAGTCAAGAAAATATTGCCCCCTAGAGTATCCATTGCTTCAAATAAAAAATTTTATTTCTATAAGCATCAGCAGCTCTGATGTCCAGGAAATTAACCAACTCATTGCTCAAGCCTGGGCCAGTGAAGCCCCACTGCACACAATGAGCCCCTTCATAATGAGCCCCACCTGGCCGAGGAGCAGCGTTCTGTGCACGGAAACTCTCCCCTTTCGGCTCTCCTGGGTAAGCCCGGTGTGAAGCTCTTTACGCCAAAAGAACACAGTCAGTGCAGACCAGCCCCACCAGCTGCCGAAGCTGTATCTACCTCCTCTCTTGTATCTTTTCTACTCTAGGTAATTCTGAAAGTTCTAAATGTCCGAGCTTTCACAAAAACAGCTCACTGCCTTGGTTACTTCCATTCCCGCTTTTCCCATGTCAAAGCTTTCTGATAGCAAACACTGCATCCTCATCACAGGACAACAAATCAGATTCGTATCTCTCTGATAGGAAACTCACACCTGTTCTCCCCAAGTCTGTCCTCGCCTTGGTTAGGGACAGAGCTTCAAGGGCAACTCCACACCTATAAACTTCTGAGTTCAAAGATTTCAAGGGACAGTTTATTATGAAGCAATCAGAAATGTGCTCGAATGTAAAAGCCATCTTCTTTCACCCGCATGGTATATGTAGTTGGTTTTATCCCAGAGAAATCTAGGACTAAATGGGTTACGCTGCCAAGTTATCTTAAAGATAATTTCTCCAGGAGTTTGCAGTGATCACCTAGTGCATGGTATTTTAAAATAGCTGAAGATGCAAACGGCTCCTCCGCTTACCTGACAGGGAGCTTTCATCCCATTCTTCTGCCCTCTTCGTGCGGCTCACTGTGGCCCCTAAGCAGAGGACCGCAAAGGTGAACAGGGATAAGGCCTGCGGGACAGAGACGGAGGTGTCAAACACCGCGGCCCCAATCCCACCGCTTGCAAAACCCCTTCCCGGGGGCACGGAGAGAGGCTGGGAGGCTCCCCGCCTGCCCTCGCATCCTTCTCCTACCTGGCACGGCCGCGCGGCGCCTCCTCCAGCCATGCCCAGGTTCTTGGAAAGCCCGCTGCCTGCCGCTGCCTTCCGCTCGCTCGCGGGCTGCTCTGCCTGGGGCTCCGAGTTCAGTCTGGTAACCCGGGGCAGTCCCACCTGGGAAGTTGACAGGCTCCTCTGATTTGCCCGGAGCTCGATTTCATCACTGTGCATTCACAAATTGCAGCTCTGAGCACCAGAGGCTTGAGGCCTCCCGCTCCGCTCCGGCCCGCCCCCTGACCGTCCCTCCCCTCGGCCACTTTCATGTGGTCTCCTCTGGCAACCGGAGGTCCCTGCTGCAGCCCGGCCAATAACAGTGCTGTTCCTTCTGCTTCCCGCACAGAACCACGGTTTGTCAGGAAAGAAACCAAATGTATTTCATCCGATAAAAATGAAACAGGGCTTCGCAGAGCGTTCTAGCAGCCATCAGCTCGGAAGGTCTACACCACACTTTTCCAATGTCCTCAAACTCACCGTTCTACTTCTTGAAACAAGGAGTTTTATAATTTACAATGCTAGTAACTTTCCCTGTCTTTCCCATGTATTTATTTTTCTGGCATGCTGAACGACTCTGTCCCTAGGACCACATTCTGATTGCTCACAGGTTTCTCACGATGAAATCTCCCCAAATTGCAACTCACAGAGATAGTATTCTTTCCTCCACGTTGTTGTTATATTTTAGAGAAGTAACTTTTATCAAAAACCTGGGGATGCCAGCTGAGCAGCATAGAGTCCTCTGCTCTATGAAGAAAGACAAAATAAGTTCATTCTCTACCCATTCCTAGCCAAACTCAGCTTGTTTGGGGGGCTTTGGGGGATAAGAGATAAAGGAAAAGGAAACTTTATCAGTAAGTGAATGTAGGATAGAAGTTTCCATGGCCACAAGAATTCAGATTTAAAGAAATGTTTCTCTAGTTATTTCCCAGTTGAATTATCATCCAGCTCCTGTGTCTTTTCAGGCTACTGTGTTTAGGTTTCTTTACTAAGCAATTTGTCAACCACAGCACTTTTAGAGGAGAAATTGAGGCCTCTGACTCCAAGAACTGTTTAAACATTGTGTTTCTTTAGGATTCAGACGAGGGGAGGTTTGGCTTGGGCTTCCCAAGCCAGGCCGGTGACTGTCTCTTGCACAGCGCATGTGTGTACACAAACAGACACAGATTTATCACGCAGCAAATTTGTAACGGGGCAGTGGCTTTGCTCAGATAAAACGCGATAGCACAATGCAGGAACTCGTTTATGGTGGGTTGCAGGGAGAGCCTGGGTTTCGTTAGATTCTAGAATTTAGTAAGAGCAAACTGAAAACAAAAAAATCCGCTGCCAAACTTGAAGTCGGCTTTCTAGACTCCTGTTAGTTTTGCAGTCTTGTACCAATGGCAGGCTTGTGAATTTTTCTACGCAAGTCTCTTGCTGTAGTCCATATGCCATACTGAACTGATTTGGGCTGTGTGTGTAGCAAGGCTAAGGAAAGTGGTTAACCCTATGTGAGATGCTTGTACTGTTTATGTTCAGTTTCAAGATGCAAGCCTGCTATCTTGGGGCAAGCCGGAAATCAGAAAGGGAAACATGAAGGCATCTGGCGGTCTCCTGATGAGCTGTGCGCTCCAAACACCCAGCTCCCCTTTCCCGGTGCCCCGAGGGGCTCCAGAAAGTCAAGGCCTTTACCCTTCGCCTGACAGTGGGCTACAGAAACCCAGCCTGGAGGTGGTGACATTTCTGCACAGGAAAGGTAAAGCTCAGAAGCTGAACATCACCTGATTTTTCATTTTATTGACATGCAGAGCAGCACGGAGGCCAAGCAGTACTCAGCTCGGTCCTGAGCTTGTTACGATGATCCAAAAGGACTGAGTCAGGCCCCAGTTTCTGTGAAGCCCTCTACCAGGTCACCATGCATCCAGGACTTACACATACATCACACACAAGCAGCATCTAGCCACAGCCAGACGGGATTGTACTACAAGATTATCATTATAAATCACTGTCAGAAGGAAAACTAAAATCCCTACCTCAAGCATCAAATCAACTGCAAAACTAAATTATGGCTTGCATCCCTGGGCTCGAGGGATGTGCGGATGGGGGAGGGGTGACAAGGGAATGAAGATGTGTTATGCACGTGCACTCTCTTCCCACAAGGAACGCGGTCATTATGTACTGCACACGTGGACTAATAAACTAAAAGAATGAATAAGATAAAATAACTGCTCGCTATCTAAACCTAAGAAACCCAAAAGGCCCAGGAAAGCATACAGCAGCCTGGGAAATTCAACTACCATGACTGGAATCTAATGCAAAATCTTTTCTAAGAAAACCAGTTAAGATCGTTCACCTGCCGTGGTGTCTGCAGCTCAGAGAGCAGGCTCAGGAAACAAGAAAGGGCAGGACAGACTGGAAACTCAGCTTGCAGCAAGGCTTTTCCTCCCAGCCATACTCCAGAGGGCACTGCCCCAGAACTGTACACAAATCTTCCAACAGTCACAGTCCTGAAAGTCACTCTGCGGTTGGCGAACTTTACCAAGCACTGGGACCTCCCCGGGGGCCTTGTTTAAAATGCTGGTGTCTGTGCCCTGCCCGGCGCAGTCTTGCCATTCAGTCTCAGGGGTGAGGAGAGAGAGATGCAGGGGCCAGGAAAGCCTGGCACTACAGACTACGCCAATGCCAGTCGCACGGGCAAAGAGATAGAGCATTCGAATAAGTTGTTCTGAACTAATTTACATGTGCCCTGCACGTTCGAGTGTTTGGCCTAATTCTGAATGCCACCGTACTGTATTATTAACAGTACTCACTAGTAATTGGACTTTGGGTTGAGATCTCGTAATGACAACCATGGCTGCTGCTCCAGGGGAATCATCTCCAAACTCTAAGCAGGAGAGTAGGATTTTATTTACTTTGTGGAGGGTACAAAACAGCAGCTGTGCGCATTGCTTAATTGCAACACAGTAGTTGTATTTATACAAATGCACAGGCCATCTTTTCATGAGATGATTCTATGAATCCTTGTTCCCAAGCTCTGAGTGAGATAAGACGACTCAAGGCTCACAGTGTGACCTGGAAGATGTCTGATTGAGGGGTGCCATTCTCGCTCCCAGCAGTAATTACGAAACTCTCGTGAACTGATTAAAGCTTTAACTACACCTTGCTTCTCATTATGCGGAATCGACACGACTTGACTTGGCTTAGCTCTGTTCCGGGAAGAGTTGCAGGATGGCAGGTGATGTTAGACAAAGGCTGACCACGCCACCTTCAGGACAGCGCAGGCACTCCAAAGGCAAGAGGGCGGTCCCCACGGGGAGCCTTCTTATTCCATTAAAACGCTAAGCCTCCTTTTAAAATTCTGTTGCCGGCGAGGATTATTGGAAAACTCCAAATAAAAACTGGACAACAGTCTTCGCAAATGGGACTTATGGATCTGAGTCCAGCAGAAGCTTCCGATAGCTGCTGGAGGAACACAAGACCACACTGCAGAGGTGTATAAAAACCGAGCCACAGAAACAGATTTTAGGGTTGTGTACGGTTCCAGGGATTCTCCAGTGGAGGGATGGGATACTTCTATTCAAATGCAAACAGGACTTGTTAGATTAGTTATTGAATAATTGCAAGTTGAAATCGACCCGTCACATCTTTCAGTGACTTTAACTTACAAACTTTTCCAGTGGAATCTAAGCATGAATCCCACACGGGAACCATCTCTGCCTTCTACTCGGCTTCATTTGTTCACAGCCCAGATAGACGCTCACCTGCTCCTACCAGGTGTGAGCACTGCCCTGGGTATGAGTGGTCCCACAGGGAGCTGAACACAGCGCAAGGTGGGGCCCAGCACTGCCCTGACCCGGAAAGACAGCAGTCTGACTCGCAGGCAGAACGGAAGTTAGGAGCCAGTCACCTGGTTCCCGTGGTCCTCTTAGGAAGGGAAAGGTTTGATCCAATTTCAGAGCATTCATCTCTACATTATGAATATGAATGGGAGGAAATCAAGAAGATCCGTGTGGAAGCCATGGCAGTAATCCAGACAAAGGGTGGCGGCTTGGACAGAGGAGTCCATAGAGGTGATGCAGAGAAAGGCAAGCGGGAGAGTTAAGAAGAAGGCTTGTTCCTTACCCTAGCAAAGGAGAAAGGAGGTGCCGGGCGGCAGGGCGTCCGCATGATGCCTGAGGAGGGACTGACCGGGCCATCCCAGGGAACACTCAGTACGCGCTCGGTGACGTCGGTTTCTGTGTTTCACTTGGATTATCAGAAAAACAGAGAGATGCGCATCTACTTGCTAACACCCTAGAATTAAATAGTTGAAATAAGGGATATGGCTAGCACTTCTAAACCATTTGTCAATGGTTTTAAAGACACTGGGGTAGTTAATTAGCCTAGGTTACACGGGACTTTCCACAGAAAAGGGACTTTTTTTTATAACTGAGATTTTGAAAAGCATTACGCCCCAGGAAATAACCCAGCTTTCTTCTTTCGCTGATAACAGAACGTTAAAAACTCGGTTTAACTATTTCATTTCAGCTGCTGTGAAATCTGCAGGTGGAAAGAGGTCTGGGGAGATTGGTCTCCTGCCCTGCATGAACTCACGGGCAGGCAGATAACGAGGGACAGGGACGCTGCTCCACCAGCCGCTTCGCCACAGAGCTGACAATTTCAGCACTGCCCGCTCCAGGCGAGGCTGAGCCACTGCTGCCTGAAGAAACGGGTCCGAAGGTTGAAGCTTCTGAGTTGGTGAAAGGAGCAGCTGAACCGGGTGTGAACGCCAGGCTTCTAAACCGGCGCAGGCCTCTGCTATGCCACAGGAGGGCCCCTCACAACCAGCTCACCCTCTGACTTCATCTCTCGCTGTGGCAACCTTAAAACCACTTTCACTCTCCTGCAATCCTCTCCTCTCTTGCTTCTCATCCCACACCACGTCTACAGATGTAAGTTACTAAACATACCCATTGCCATCATCTGCAGGACTTGCTGAGGCCTGCCAGTACCCTAAACTACCTTCTTAGCTGATGGTTTTCCTTCGATCCCTTCATCCCTCTTCATCTAGACCACACGTGGAAGCCCTCTCAGAATTGTTCCTCCCATTTGCACTCTGCCCCCCATCGCAGTCCTACCTGTTCATTACCAAACAGTCCTGACTAAAACTTGAGTCAGATGGCTTTCCTCCCACATTTAGAAGTCTTTCAGTGG